GCGCAGATCAAGGACGGACGCTGGCATCGGACTCTCTTTTCATTTCGGACGCAGGACCCTCAGCAGCTGCCAATTGTCAACATCTACAACCTTCCCCCATCCGAGCCAGGAAAGCAATACCACCTCGAGGTCGGCCCCGTGTGCTTCCTTTGAACAACGCCGCCAAACCCGGGCTCCAAGGCTTTGACCCCACTTTTGGCCTAGGTCTTCACACAGCATCTCCCACCTCTCTGCAGCAAGGACAGCTGGGCTGTGTCTTTTGGGTCAACTCTTGCTCTAGCCTTTGGCTCAAGGTCTCAAAGAACCCGTGATCTACTGAACTCAGCAGGTTGTGGAAAGGAGGAATAAGAAGGATGGTGGGGAAGCGGGTATCAGTCGGGACGTGACCAGTGAAAAGGGATCAGGGGACTAGGTGTCCAAGCGGTTCCACACACAAAGCTTTTTCCATGACCAAAGAAAATATTGAGAGAAACCTCAAGCAACTTGCAGCGTGTGGGTTTGTTTTTTTCTCTCCCCTCCCCCATTTTTGTCTTACCTGGTTCCTGAGTTACCAAATGTTCTCTCCATTGAAAAGTAATTAAAAGATGATAGAGCTTCCCTCGCAGAGCTCGTCGCTCCCGGACGGCCACGCGCTGCATCGGGCTCTGCCAGGCGGAGCCGCAAGTCGAATCTGGCTGCTCTGCGTACCGGAAGCATTTTGATGTGCAATATTAGAAGAAACAAAAATATATATATTATATTATTTAAAGCAAAAAGAAAAAGAAAAAAAAAAAAACATAAAAAAAAACTAAGTTCCTCCTTCCATGGGTGAGTTGAACCAATGTCCCTTCTCAGGCGTGGCGGTGGGGTAGGGGAGAGTCCCAAAGCTGAAAGAGGGGAATGGAAGGAGGAGAGGGGAAGAGATTGGTGCTAAAATAGAGAGAGAGGATGGGCTTGTCTGATTTGTTTCTACCTCTCACTGTGAAATCTCTGGTGCTCTTAAAAAAAGTGTGTTATTTTATATATATGACTTTATTTAAGGTTGTGAAGGTGCTACAGTGTCTTGCCACAGACCCAAAAAAAGCCCATGGGGCCGTCTCTCTAGGAAGAGAGGTGGTCACGATCTACAGCTAAATCAGAGAAACACCTTTAACGGGATCTTTGAATCACCACGGATGCCAATCCTGCGCGACAACTCGAAGCGCATCCAAAATAATTCACAGGCTGTTTTAAAAGCCAATTTGCCTTTTTTTCTTTTTTTCCTTTTTTTTTTTTTTAAACCAGCACTTCACTGCTTTGGGAGGAGAGCGAGGGCTCCAGCTCACCCGCAGCCGCTGCAGGATGAAGCCTCAGGGCGCTGCGTGGGCCGGTGCCAGGTCACTCACTCGTTTTGCTGTAGCCGTGGTGGCCCCGTGGCCGCGGCTCCGCGCGCAGCGATTCCCCGGGCTCAGCGCGTGTATTTAAACCCAGCTCTGCACCCTTCTGTCCGGGCCCCTCTGCCGAGACTGAGAGGATGGTACCTGGTTCCAGACCCCGGCCGGGCTTGGAGGGGTTTTCTTTTGTTAAGTTTTGTAGAAATCTAGTCTCTGTATGTAAATTTGGAGGATTTTTTTTTTTTTTAAAGAGGATAATTATGGTAATCTTTAATTCTATATAAGGAATAATATTGATGTAATCGGAGCTGTACTGTATCGGAAACGCTTCAGTGCCTGTTTGGAGTTTTCATGTCTCGTACGGACTATGGATTTTATTTTTTTGAGGAAAAAAAAGAAAAAGAAATATATGTGCGTCTCTCTTGGTGTATTCTTTTTTTTTTACTACTGCCCGCTGGTTGGCTGCCAACCACCCTCGACACAGGTTAACAGGATCCGTCTCAAATACCTCACCCTCCGCGCTCTGCCCCGCTCACAGATACCTCACCCCCGGCCCCCCGCTGCCCGTGTGTGTTTGCTCCCGGCCGCAGTTACCGTCTGTTCTCATTTACGCTTTTTTTTTCCTTTTCTTCTTCATTTTCTTTTTTTTTTTTTTTGGACTTAAATAAATATTTAAAACTGAAGCAACGAAATGGGACTTTTATGTTTGTGGTTTGTTTTTTTCCTTCTTCTTGAGAAATGGTATTGGGGGTGAGGAGCAGGCTCCACGTCCAGGCCCCCACAGGGGAGCCCCCAAATTCCCATCCCACAGCAGCGCCCACCCAGCCCTCAGGGCGATGCTGAGCCCACGACGAGGCTGTGCCCCACAGCTCCCCACCACCACACGTCCCCTGCTGTGGCCACCGGCACCTTTCTCATCGTCACCCCTGTCCTGGCAGTGCTGGGGAGCCAGAGGAAAGGGTTCGGGGGGGGCCAAGAGATGAGCTTTTCTCCTTGCTGAACCAAAAACTCACCTCAGTGGCTCCGAGGTGACCTTGGAAGGAGTCTTCTTGCTCACAGCCTGGGACCTCGTGGGTTGTGTCGGGGTGTGTGGGGCTGCAGCACCGGGGTCACTGCTGGTACACACGGCTTGGGAGAAAACAGAGTGAATAAATAAATAGATGTAACGCACGTGGTTGTGCACCCACCAGCCCCAGCCTCGTGTAACGCTGCTGCTCGTGTCCTCGCCTTGTGCCCCCAGCCCGGATTTGGCCCCATCCCAGTCCCAGTGCTCCCATTTGGGTCAGACCCAAGCACTGGGCACCACCGCCAGCACCACGGCCCAGGGGCTGCGTTACCAACCCAAGGCTGGGCCGAGACGAGCAGCAATTAACCAAAAAAGCCAAATTTTTTGGCTTAAGGGCAAAGGCCGTGGGCAGGTGCTTGCTTGCCCAGGCAGGGCAGGTACAAAAGCCCCCAGCAGCACTCGCTGCCCCACGGCACTTTGCACAAACACACCTGCAGCCCGCAGCGTGCCCGGCCCGCCACCCGCAGGGTGAATTACGGCTTCCAAGAACAAAGCCCGCGGTGGTGCAACGCGTTTATTTTTTTTCTTCACCTTTTCTGCCGGGAAAAAAAAAAAAAAAAATGCACTCTTCTGCCAGTTTACATCCACTCACCTGCTATTGCTTCACGCCTGAGCAAACAGCCCCGTGGTTAAATAAGCGCCTCGGGGCTGCGGCGGGGCCGTAGAGAACAGTGCCGGCGGGCAGCAACGTCCCACCTGCGCCGCAGCTTCACCGCAGCCCCCCCAGCCCCACACAGTGCCGGCGATGCTGCCCTGCCTCCTCCTGCCCGTCCTGGCCGTGGGGCTGGTGCGTGCCCATGCGGACGAGCCCCACGCCTGCGCCCCGCTCCCCCTGGCCGTCATGGACAACGCGACCGTGGATGGGGTAAGCCGTGACACCCGCGGTTCCTAAAATATCCCTCGGGCCCACGCGACCCCCAGGGGAATGAGTCCTCAAAGATGTGCTCTGGTTCCATCGGCAGCTGCTGGGGCACTGGGTGTACATCATGGGCGCCTCCAACTACCCCCCACACGTGGCCGAGATGAAGGAGCTGAAGTACGCCACCTTCACCTTCCTGCCCGGCAGCCACGACGATGAGTTCAGCGTGACCGAGACCCTGCGGCTGTAAGGACGGGGTGGGGATGGGCTGGGACGTCCCCAGGGCAGAACCATCCCAGGCTGTGGTCAGGGCTCTGGTTCTGCCATGGTGGGGGACAAACGAGTGGCAGCAGCCACCCCAGTGCCTGTCCGGCTACCTATCAACACTAAATTTGGGGCTGGGAGCTGTTACCCCACATTTATCCCCGCTAAGGGCTGCCCTGCCTCAAGCTCAGGGAGGCGAGGGAGGGGGCCGCAGCCCGAGGACCCTCCCCAGGTTTATTCGGGGCAGCTGTGCCCCGTTTCACCTCTCTCTGCCCCCCCAGGAACGAGACGTGCGTGGTGAAGAACGCCAGCAAGATCCTCATCTTCCGGCACAACTCCACCCTGATGCACGGTACGGCCGCAGCCCCCACAGTCAGCGCCCCGCTGAGCCCCTCCCGGCACACGTCCCCCAAAACTGCCCTTTGTAGGAACCCCCCGGGCCTTTCCTACCCCCATACACGGGTCCGGGGGCAGGGGACACCCCCAGCCCCGCACACTGGGGACATCGGTGCCAGGGGGACACACCGGTCCCCAGTTGTGTCCCAGTCACTAACTGGGGTCCCCGCACTCCCCGTGCCTTCCAGTGGAGGGGCAGGAGGCGTCCATGGCCGAGCTGATCAAGACCGACAAGGAGCTGCTGGTCATGAAGCACAGCAAGGAGTCCTACCTGGGCCTCAGCCTCTCGGGTGAGCACGCTGTCCCGCACGGCTGTCAGGGGAGCACCCCCGAACCCGTCCTTTTTTCCTCTCCCCCCCCATTTTTACGCCACCTTCCCAACAGCGCGGACGCCCAACGTGAGCAAGGAGCACCTGGAGGCGTTCCGGGCCCAGCTGCGCTGCCTCGGCTTCACGCAGGAGGAGACCTTCGTCACCTCCCCGAAGGTAGGGACCCGCGGGTGGGACGGGGCACCCCGGGACTGTGTCTGGCTGGGTGCGAGCCCCTGTCCCCCCTCCCCAAGGACGCCTGTCCCCCCGAGGGCAAGGAGAAGGACGAAGCCACCTTGGCCACCGCAGAAGAGTAACTGGAGTGAACCCCTGTGTGTGGCCCCCAGCCCCTGCGTGGGGACATCCCCTGGTGCTCGGCTCAGCCTCGGGAGGTCCCGGCGAGTTTTTGTCTTCCAACAGAGGACCCACACCGTGCCCTTCCCAGAAGGGATTTGCAGCTTTTCTGTTCTCACGTCGAGCTGGAATAAAGCCTGCGTGACACCCGCCTGCTGTGTGCCTTCCCTGCGCCCACACATGGGATGGGGACGGCTGGGGGCACAGCTCGGACCCCGTCTCCTACCCAGTGTCAGACAAAACCCCGGGGATTTAGGGGATGGGGTGACCTAACCCACGGGCTCGTGTCCATAAGCAGCCCCAAGGCACACTAGGGAAGGTGGGGCCCCGAGTGCCTCTGAGCAGGGCAGGGGGGAGGAAAAGCCACCACCAGGGCCGGCCCGTGGGGCTTGGGGACAGGACACAAACAGAAACCGAGCCAGCCCCCAAGCTGTGCCCTGCCAGGGGTGAGGGCATGGAGCAAGACACAGACGTGGCAGCACACGGGGGGCACTGAGCAGGACAAATAAGGTTACACGGAGGGTTCAGGGCAGACCCCAAGGAAGTTTTCCTGCGAGCAACAGCACCAGGGCAGCAGTGCCGTGAGCTGCCAGCTGGACATGAGGCATGGGGAAAGTCCCCGGCCTGGGGCTGGAGGCCGGGCAGCCCCCGGGGGCCATCCCAGCCCCGCTGTGAGCACAGCTCACACCCAGAGGGCTCCCAAAGCCCCGCGCCATGGCACGAGGCAGTGACAGCACCCATGGCCCGGTGAGCAGCGCAGTTCCTCACTTGTGGAGCCACTACAGCAGCTGCATAGGGGGGAGTGAAACGGGGAAATTTTGGGCAGATTTCACTTTTAAATATGGGAAGTGCATCGCCCTCCCCATGCTGCCCAGCCAGTCAGAGCCCTGAGCTGGGGCTGGGCACCCGGCCCTCACTGGGGCGATTTCCCCGAAAGCCGCCGTTGCGCCACCGCAGCCCCTGCTGCGCGCAGCCGCCTTGCGAAAGCAAACACCCGAGCGAGCAGCGTCCGTCCGTCTGTCCGTCCCTCCATCTGTCCGTCATCCTGCTGGTCTGCTCCATCAGGCAGCCATGGCAGCGGCTGGCATCGCTGCCATCCTCATCCTCACAGCACTGCCGCCCGCTGCGGCCGCTCCCTGCGAGCCCACACAGAGCCCGGCCAACGCGACGGCACCGGGGGTAAGGAGGAGGCCGGGTGCTGAATGGAGGGTGGGGGGGCAGGCAGGGAGCCCCCACAGCCCCACGCCTCTCCCGCAGCTGCTGGGGACGTGGCGGTACGTGGCCGGGGCCGCCCAGCTGCCCCAGCACCTCCTGGAGCTGCTGCTCATCGACCACGGCCACCTGCGCGTGGAGCCCGGCGCCGGGGGGCAGGAGCTGCTCGTCACCCAGCACGTGGCCGCGTGAGATGCCCGCACCCCTCCCGGTCCCCAACCCCTTCCTCCTAACCCCCCATGTGTGTTAACATCAGCCCTCAGTGCCCGGCCTCTCCAGAAGGATATGGGCAGGGGGGGCTCAGCACCACGGCTCTGCCTCGATTCCCCCTCTCCGCAGGGGCGGCCGCTGTCTCTCCAACAACTCCACCTACTTCCAGCTCCCTGATGGTGGTGGAACAGTGCTGGTGAAGCATGGTGAGTGGTGGCACGGCGTGCGGGGCTGTGGTTAAGTCCGCATTTCAGAAGGGCACGGGTTGATGCCTTGTATTGCCCCACATGTTGTTATTTTGGGATGGTTTTGTGGGTCCGAAGCCTTGGTAAGCTCCATGTGATGCCAGGGCCCCACCGGCAGGCACTGAGCCCACCCCACAGCCGGGTCCCGGCACGCGGCACAGCCGCATGAGGCAGCAATAAAGCCCATGAAGCAATGCCGTGCTGGGAACAAGCAACAAACCTGCCCCCTCCGACGCGGAAGGAGGCCGCTTTATTTTCCAAATGGTTTCACAATCCCTCTGGGAACGGCGGGGAACATTCGTGGCACGTTTCATTGCACTAACGCAGCTCTCACTCCCCAACGCCGGCGCTGCTCTCTCAAAGCCAAGACCCAGCAGACCGTGGGGACGCTGCTGAACCTCAGCTCTGAGGACATTTTGCTCATCCAGCACCAACTGCAGAAGGAGAGGACGTATTCAGCGCTGTATCTCTATGGTACGTGAACCCCATCCTAAGGTAACCTCGAGCTGCCACCCAACACCAAGCGATGCACTGAGAGCCACCACCTAACCACGCACGGCTGCACAGTTCCACCACCAATCTGTGATTTTTCCTCAAACCACCACGCCAGGGTCAGGGAACAGTTCAGAATCCCATTAATCCTAAATCTCTGGGCAGAGCAGAAAGAACAAGTTAAAGCCAAAACCCACTTACGCCATAAATATTCAAAGAACAGGAAGCACCCGCAGAACACCACAGATATCACCGTCAAATCTCAATATTTTCAAGCCAACCGTGATTTTTCAGTGCTTACCTCCCGGGGCAGAGCACGTGGCTTTGCAGGACCAGCACAGGCAGCGCCGGCCAGGCCCACACGCAGCCCCGTGAAGCAGCACACCAGACCACGATAAAGCTCCCCGCTGCCCTTACAAGCTGCAGAGCAATTGCTTAAGGAAGTCCAAAGCCACGTTTGGCAAACACAGACCTGCCTCGGTCCCTGCCTGGGGCACACATCCCTCCGAACACCCCAGGAGCGTGACAAACTATTGTGCAAGCAGTTACAATGGGAACAAGGAAGGAGTAAATAATAAAAATAAAATTAAAAAAATGACGCCCAAGACTGGCTTTGACAGGTGGGGTGAGGGACCCCAGCACCTCCACAATGAGTATTTGTGGGAGCAAGGGGAGGGCATGAAATACAGACAGGGAGGAGGCACACAGGGACTATGTATGGCCCCCGAAATGTTAACACTTTTATTTTTCAGCCCGAAATCAGACCGTGAGCAAGGCCCAGCGGGACGAGTTCACCCAGCACGCCCAGCGCCTGGGGCTCAGCGAAGGGGAGATCATGTACGCACCATGGAGGCAGGTGGGTGCCCTCACCTCCCCGAGCAGACAGATTTGCTTCCCCAGCAGTTACCACAGAGCCACAGCTCCCTGAAGCAAATTCCTGCCCTTCAGCAGCCCCAAAGGGAATTGGGGTGACTCACTGCAGCCACCTCCCCCTGCCCAGAGGGGATCCCTAACCCCCAGTTTTGCCCCCAAACTCCTCATTTTGTACCCCCAGTAGCGGACGCATCCCTTGGGAGCTGCAGCACGGGGCTGAAGGGGCTCGTGTCCCTGGGCACACCACGGCCCTGCTTCTACTGAAGAAAAGCTCGGGGTGCTCTGAAACTGGGGCTGGGACTACCGAGGGCTCCTCTGGGTCAGGAATCCAGCCCTGAGTCCGAAAAGCCCAGAGTATCAGGAAAAAAAGCCCCAAATCCCCCTCCTGCTGCCGACAGAGGAGGCAGTGCCACTGACCAACTCCGCACCCACTCCCCACACAAACAGAGCTTTTCCCTGCCGTTTTCCACCCAAAAGTTTATCAGGGCCAACCCTCACCCCAGCCCCTGCCCAGGCTAAGGAGCACCCACCTGCCTTCCTCATGCTCGCCCAGACTTCCCTTACAGAGGGTCTCCCACAGCTTCACACAAACCAGGGAGGGGACGGACAGAGGGACAGACAGCCCACCTTGAGCCCCCGCGGTGGCTGGGAGGTGCCGGATTGCTCAGGCAACGAGCAGCACCTGGGGCTGGGCCCAGCTGGGCTCACCAGCTGCTGACAAGGGGACACAGAGGTGTGGGGACTCTCGCTGATATTTGGGCAAAATGGAAACGCTTTGAGAAAGCCCAAGTGAGGGGAATGTGCCCGAGCAATGTTTCCTCAGCAGAGCTTGGGGATCACAGCCAGAAGGGGTTTCTGTGCCAGGACAAGGTGCTAGGGTTCACCAGGGCTGAAGTGAATTGAAGTTAAAGTGGGAAAACAAATGTAATGCAGGCCTTGGGCTTAAGGAGCCACAGGTGAGCGGAGGCTGGGGTATCACTGCATCAGCCCCAGGTGTTAGCAATTCTGAGCACACAGGTAGTACATGTTTTTAGCTTATTTCCTCATTAAGACTGAATCTCCCATTCCTTCAGAGCAAGCTGGTGCAGTGTACTGGTACAGCACGGATTTGCTTCAGAAACCTGGTTTCTTTTGGGCATGGGTGTAGAAAAGAGCAGTAGCTCACTGCGCGGTCTGTGCTTCAGGCAGCTCAAAAAGCACATGTAATATCTGTGCCTGTTTAAAACGGTAATCAGCTGAAAAGAAAAAATGATAAAGAAACACCCTTCTTTACAGTACATTCTCTCCTGAGGCCGTGGCAGTTTCATTTATCCATTTATCCGTTTCTGGTTGTTCTGAAGGAGCTGTGTCAAGTGGAGGAAACCCAAGATGGCGGCGCCCAAGGCACGGCCCCCCCGGCCACAGGCCCAGAGCCACCAGCACCGAGCGGGGCCGGGAGCACGACAAGCCAGCACCAATAAATTCTTCACTCCAACACGTCACTGTTCATTGCTGAGAGATTAGGGCTCAGGAGTGCAAAAAAAGAGATTGAGCACCCGATTTGCCTCATGTGTCCCTCGCCTGGTGTTTGGGAACAGCAGCCTCGAGCGCCCGTGGCTGCAGGATGAGGTGCACAGGGCAACCGCAGCCTCTCAGCCCCTCACGGCCCGCTCCAGGCCCGGGTTTGGGAGCTGGGCTCCTCCAGAGGTAACACTGAAAGCAGTGATGGAGGCTTACCAGAAGAGGGCAATCGGTTACCATGCATAGAAGCATGCCAAGCATCTGATGCGTAACTGAAATCCACGTGAGGCCAGAAACTTCTCAAACTGTGGGCCAAGAGGAAGATGGGGCTTAACTGGAATCAGTCCCTAACTCCTGCCAGAGCTGGTCCATCTTGCCCAAAACGAGCCCAGCTGCTGCTGCCCTTCCCTCTTATCCCTTTGGGCCAGGCTGGAGCTCCCCAGCCTTCACCCACAGCATGCCCGGCTGTGGTGACACTGGTGGAGCTGGGGCTGCTAACCCAGGCCTGCAGGATTTTGATTCCTCCCCAGAAAAAGGGCACAATTCCTCACATCTGCATGAATCCAGCACGGTGCTGGGGTATGGTGCTGACAGACACCCCACGCCTCCATCTTCACCCAGGGGAGCACAGCGCTGCTGCTCCGTGCTTGTGACACTAAGGGAAGGTTAAAAAAAGCACCCGTGGTTGCTGCGTGGCTGGGAGGTAATTCAGTCTCAGCTCTAACCTAGTAATTAAGCACTGAAAATATCTCTGCCTTAAAAAGGAGGAAAAGGACGAGCTGCTGGCACACAGCGAGGAGCCCTGCCCCTCCGCAGTGCCACCAGGGTGCCTTTACCCTGCAAGGCAGCGCATGCTGGGGAGCATTTCGCTCGGGCTTCTGGCCCAATTTCTTGTAGCAAAACTGGGTTTTACAGAGTGAAATCAGCACGTTCCCTCGGGGTCTCAGGGCACAGGTACCTGGCCAGCCTTTGCTTCCAGCATCTTTATCGGCTTCTGGCAAAAATCTTAACACTCCACCTCAGAGCCAGCCATGGAAGGGCAGGAGAGGACAGCAGAGATGGGTGCTGCCAGCAGCCTTGAGAGCTGTGGGGCAGAGAAGGCTGCGATGTCTTCAGCTGAGCAGAGCTGACGCTGCTGGAAAGCAGCTCCACAGGTTGCAAGGGACAAGGCTTTATAAGTAGAGTTATAGATGAATAAAAGCCTTGAGTGACAGTCAGAGACATAAAAACCAACCCCAGTGCGGTCCCCACGGAGAGTTCTGTTTGCTGGTAGTGCAAGTGCCCTCAGATTTAGCTGTTTCCTGGAACATTCAATAGCTCAGTTTTATTGTTGTTGTTTTAGACAGAAATTGGAAAAAAAAAAAAGACGACTTTTGAAAACCTTAAAAGTCCTTCAAGGTTCCTTTGTTCCTTCAGGGGCATTATTTAGACTGTGGAGTTTCCAGATTTTCCAGGACTCTCACTTCTCTGAACAAGTTATGGACAATGAACAGATGAGGAAAACGTCCAGCAGCACTCAGAGCTAAGCCAACCATATCCAAGTGTTTCTGAGCCATTACATCCACCATTACTTTTGATCTCATTTTTGCTCTTTTTTCCCTTTAAGAATTCTTTTCTCCCAGGTCCTTGTAGGGAGAACCATTCCCAGCATCACCATCCTTGGTAAAAGCCATCCTAGTCTGGCCACAGACCACCAATAAGCCATATCGAGAAAGAGACAGACACATGGCATCTCTTTGACAGACCTTTATTAGCAGACTGTTCCCTACATGAAGGATCCGAGTTAGATTTGCATATTAACAATTTGTGGTTACAGCTACAAAGATGGTTGTCATTTTGCATTGATTTTTGCATTCTGATATTCATATTTCCATTAGGCCACACTGGTAGGAAGGAGCCACTGCAAAATTTACAATAGATCTCAAAAAAAAAAGAGGGGGGGTGGGAAAAAATCTTATCACTAATCCAGACCGCTTAGATTCCCATGTGGCTAACTACTGACAGCACTGGATAGCCAAGGCAGAGAGCCTCACCTGGAAGGCTCTCCATGAAGTCTGTCAGCAGAAAAGCAGCTGCTGAGTGCTAACAGATCCTTTTCCGACTTCTCAGGCACTTCTCCCCAGTGTCCATTTGCACGTAGAGAGCAGTGGCTCAGCAGCAGGATCTGCTGATTCAGCCTCAAAGCACAACTGCAGCAGCTTGGGTCCAAGGGCAAGTTTCCTCCCATCTCTCTAGAAACTTGTGTTTTCTTTAGTCCCTGAGATTTCTCCCCCCTCCCCTTTTACATAAAGATTCCCCAAGATCGCTCTCAATTAGCTGTTGTGACACCCAACATGCACAGACCTTCTACTTCCCAACTTCAGCCATCCACCCGAAACCCCTTCAGCCGTGCACAGAGGCAATTCCGAAATAAGGCAGGCCTCACGGTGCACCCTCTGCCCTCATCCCTGCTTCCTCACCAGCTCCCTTCTCTCCTATGGCATCCTGCTACAGAATTTCTCTGGGCTGAGGTCCTCCAGCAACAACCCCGGACTGGGGAAAGGCAGCTCAAGCCCCACAGGGAAGGTACGCTAGTGACTTCAGTGTCCTTCCCACGACTCAGCTGTGTGATGTACGAGAACAAATAGAGAACTTTTTAAAACAGGAGAAATACAAGCACAGTAACAATATTTAAACAAGTCTATAAAAATAGTCTGACATAACTCTGTTCAAATAAATACAAAATAAATATGCTTTAAGCAGTAAAACAGTGGAATGCAACGCTGGTCCATCTTGCCCAAAACGAAAAGTTGGATGAGGATCTCCCAGGCCTCAGAAGCCAGATCCTATCAACTAAAGTAGCCCATAATGCAGAGAAATTTTTAAAGCCAGCTCTTTCCCTTAGCCTTATGAAAAGCACCCTTTGAAAGAAAAGCAAGCGCGTCCTCAGGACTGAAAGCTCACCTCTCCCAGTGACAACCAGCCCCTCTCCCTAACACCCCTTCCCACAACAGACCCTTCTGGCTCGGGGACTCCATCCCGCTAATGCAAACCTGAACATCAATCTACAAAGAGGTCTAAAGAGATAGATAGCAGCGTAGGCACTGGGTTTGGAAAGGTCCATCAGCTACCCTTGGCACCAGGCAGAATGGAATTCAGAGGTCCATGCGATGCTGCACAGGGGCTCTCTTGTCGTGCTGGGAGCACAGCTGCACAGGAGCTGTGAAGTATTGTCATTTATTCACTAAAGCCATGCATCAAGGTGCCGGTCCACCGAGGACTCTCAAGCCTTCCCCTTTCCAAGCCCCTGCTGAGTATAAGACAAGCCAATCCCGGCATGCAAAGGATACAGGCATGCAGGCTCTAGTCTGCTGCTTCTGTTAGTAAGTGCATCTTGTTAGTGGATTTATGAGACACACTTAAACCTATCAAAAATAAATAATCCTAATCCTTCATCAGGCTGGCCTAAGTAACATTCAGCCTGACTGGATAAACCACTGCCCACCAGCCCTCAAAACCAGTATAGTTCAAAGTTACATTTCATGTCAAGTCTTGGAAGCAGAACATGAATGTCTCCTACCCAAAGGAATATATGTAAACATAATGACAAGCCTGGTGTGGCAGCAGCTCCTACACAAGGTTTGTACAAATTTAAACAACAGGTAGGAAGTTAAACAACTGAATGGAAAAAGAAGCTCTTTCAGCAAGTCAGAAGGTGCTCATCTGCAGGCATACAGCTCTGTACATGTCATATGCTGAAAGCAGACTGTTCCCCAAATCTTTGCTACTTTGACCTCAGCAACTCACGCCTTAGGATTGTGCCAGGAGTTCGGCTCCCGGTCTCCCAAAAGGCCCAACAAAACGGACCACCTGATGGTTTACGTAGAGCTCTGAGTAGCAAGATGGCAAAGGACACCAGATGCTCCCCTCCCCTTACTGACTCACAAACTATCTGAGATTTCACAGCTTTGCTTAGTCAGCTTAGTGTCGACACATTCACAGAATGAGAGATGGCTATACGTCTTGGGATTACACCCCAAGATTTCAGAGTTCAAAGTCCTCAGCATCTCCTGGTCACCGTGACTGCACACCCAGAGTCATCTTCAAGTTTTCATACACCACGTAGCTGATGCTTACAGCCGGGATCACCTTCATAAAGTTCGGGGCCAGACCCCGGTACAGACCAAATGCTCCCTCTGTCTTCAGAATGTGTTTGAACAGTCCCCGCATCGTCACTTCAGGAGCACCCTCCACAGAAGCTGCAACAAAAAATGTTACAAAAAGACCCAGTAAGTAATGCAGCCTATGTCATTAAAACACTAAGATAACACCTGTCTCAGAGAGCAGTTCTGAGTCACGCGCTTCCTGTGGATGTTCACAGACCAAAGGTGCTTTAGGGAGGACAGCACCTCACTTCTCAGCAAGCCGTGGCTGTGCCATGCATCACAGCCTTTTTCCCAAACTGCTCTGCCAATGCCCTTAGCCCTAGTTCCTAACGTGAGCAAAACAGAACTGCTCTGTCCTGGAGGTGCTTGACACAAGGTGCTAAGGGCAGATCAAAGTCCACTGTCCTCTTGCAGCATGGCAAATAGCCTATTGCTCAGCTGCACGGGCTAGTTAAGGCTGTTTTTGCAATGTTTGCACCAGCAGACCTTTACCCTGCCCAGAGACCATGGCAGCAGTTCACACACTACTACAGAGTTCCCCGAAGTTCTCACCTTGGGCCTGCATGCGTGTCCTCACAAGAGCCAGTGGGTAACTGGCGAGCTGTCCACAGGTACTGGAAATGGTGCCACAAGCCAAGAGAACAAAGACTCCAGGGTCAGCACTGTTGACAGCGTAGCGTTGCAACCAGGCATTTTTTAGTGTCTGGAAGGAACAAGCTAGATGTTAGCAGTGAAGAAGCAATCAAGAGTATCAAGTTATATAAAAGATCTGGCATAAAGGCCCAGGCAGATGTGTGCAATTTCAACCAGGCTTCTCAGTTTTGTTTTGTTTTTGAACTACTGCTACTTTAGGGGCTGAGGAAAAAAACCTCCTTCAATTTTCTGCTGCAATTCTCTCCAAAAAAGAAGGAATCATGCATGATGCCAACTATGAAAGTAGGATTCTCGTACTGCATTGTCATTTAGGCCATTTTGAGTAAAAATCCACCTGTACCCCCCTTAAGGCTGATTAGGAAAGCCTTGAAAAGTTATTTAAAATCCCGTAGTGACTAAGAGGTCTGACAGTAATAAAGCTAAAGTAGCCCAGCCCTACAAAAGGGTTAAAGGCTCCATACCTCATAGACTGCCAGGTCAATACCAGCATATGGAATGATTCCTAGCATGTTGGGGATGTAGCCTTTGTAGAAGGCAGCCATTCCTTCCTTGGAAAGGATGTTTTTGGCACAGTCCAACATGCCTGAATATTGTCCCGTCTTTCTTAGAGCCATCCGTGTTTTCAGAACCTAGAAGACAAGAAGAAATGCCATGAAGACCCACAAGAGAACCAACAGGAGAAAAACACGCAACGTCATTCTCGGGAGCAGGATGTTCAGGACTAGAGCACGCATCATGTGAGCACCATTACTTGGCACCAGCCTAACTAAGGAGTTCTCAGAGATAAGGGCAGAACACCAGCTCCACGATAAGCTCTCGTCTTGGCACCTCGCCACCACCCTGCGTGGGCTGGGCCGGCAGCCCCATGGCCTCACCTCCATCGGGTAGATGCTGCTCTGCGCAATGGCCCCTGCCAGAGAGCCAGCCAACAGCCGCTCGTGGATCCTCAGCATTTCTTGGTCGGTGCCGATGAACCGCTTGATCTGCAGAAGCCAAAAAGAAAGGATTGAGGATCACCGACTATCCCAGCTGCTCTTCTTTCATCCTGGCCTTCCACAGACCCCTCTGCAGCCAGACTCCTCCACGCTCTTTTACTCACCTGTTCGTAGGCCATGAACTTAATGGCAGATTCCGGTGCAATCTTCAGCACGTTGATGCCATTCCCCCGCCACAGTGACCTTGGTCCACCCTCTCGGATCATTTGGGTAAAACCGCCAATAATGCACATGTTGTTGCTGCGGGAGGCATGAACCTGGGAGAGAGAGAGCTTGGATTAGCTCCAGGCCTGATTACGACAGCGTTACGTTCTTCCATAATCCAGGGACAAAAGGGCACTTTTTTTATTTACCCAGAGATTTGCCAAGGCTTTAATCCCTTCCAAATTACTTCTACAATAGAAAAGCAAGCTTCTCTTCCTTTTTGAAAAGTCCAATGTTAGCTAATGAATCTAATCAATATCTCCTTTTCGGAATGGGGGGAAGGGTTAAACAGACAACTCCCATACCTAGAACAGGGCCAGCTACACAGAACAGACTTCTCAGCTGGCTTAAAAGCAGGTGCAAGCTAAAAATTATGTTTTTGCAATGCCTTTATAACACATAACACTTGCACAGGATGCCAGCTCTGCCTGCTGATGCTGATCCCCACAATCATTTCAACTCCCGTGGGAAAACAACTTGAACCTGCTTCACCAAAATCTAAACGACAGAGCTCTCCAACTATTGACAGTTTTCACATCAACCTCCTGAAATCTTCTATCTTTTCTAGACTGTGAAGAATAACTTGCTGACATGACTTTGATCATTCAAATAACCCAAAAAGATTTCTAAAATGCTAATACAGGAGCAAAAGGATTGATGCCAGTCAGAGTGCTGTACTGTTAGTGAGTATTATTATTGTCTCCTCGGCATCACTTTAGCAGGAATATTAAAGGAATCAGCCTGGCTATTCAAACAAACTGGGATTGTTCCATCATACCTGCATGAGCACTTTCAAGCGGTCCAAGGGAGCTGTACAGGTTCTGGACACGGCACCTGCACCTCCACCTGCAACCAGATGTCTCCACCACATCCCCGTTTGCCTCTCTTCCACTGTGAACTCATCAGGGACGGTCAAATTCTCTCCGACATCAAAGATCTGCAAAAATGTAAGGTGTTGAGAAACATTTTATCAGCTGGCAATCTTGCCAAAGTTTTATTGCTCTTTATCAGTGCTAAGTGTTGAAGCAATGAATATGCTCACTCCGAGTCAGCAGCTTATCTGTAACCATTAACTGTTGTGTCTGACCAGCGGGACTGCCAGCACCAGAGCATGTCAAAGGGTACCTTACGTTTACAAGACTTCTGTCTGGGGAGCTGGGAATTGCTAAACATTTGTCTGCATTAAGGTGCCGTGGATCAGGATACGGAACAAAATGATCCACTGCGGGCAACTGCGTAGGGAAAAAGCTGAGCCTCACTTCAACCTTCACAGCTCGCAGCCAGTTTAATCTCGTTACACGCTATTTACACACACTGAAATATCTCCAGGAAGCACGGCTGCCTGTCACATCAGTTCCTCCTCTTAATGAGTTCAGAACTAGCAGGAGCTGGCCACCAGTACAAGCTCTCAGAGGTAGAAGCCAAACAAACACACATCTTGCAGAAAGTAGTTATCACCTGTGCCAGAGGCTCCAGAAATAGTGCCTGTGATGGGTGGCAAGATAAGAGAACAGAACAGGAAGCAACTGGCTTCCAGGCAGCTACTGAACCATAAAGAAAATGATAGAGACTGCTGATTGCATCTCCTGGGGGTCATGGCTTTGACTGAGAACCTGGGGAAAGACCAAGACCTGCTGCAGGGGAAGCATTTCTTACCGTGGAGTGCTTCCAGTACAGGATGATTTCAGGAATGTTCTCCACTGGGTGCAGCAGGTGATAGTCTCGCCACTCGTTCCAGTCAATTGTCATCGTCCCATTTTTATCCATGCTAAAAAGATTTATCATTAGATGAGCACAGACTCCCACTGGGTGACAGATTCCTCCTCCCCTTCCCTTTGATTACTCAGGCCTACACCAGAAAAAGCTTTGCAAAGCAACTGCTGAAAGACTTCCAAAGAGACACGAGACAAAGCTAGGAAATCTCTTCACCAAACACTGCAGAGAGATAGAAGCAGTCTCCCTTCTCCCCTCCTTCCCCTCTAACTGAACCACAGAAGTTGCTGTACCCCCTCCTACCAAAGCAAGTGCAGCTAGTTTCCCAACTGAAGGGAAGAAAATACTTACTAGGTGACAGGACCCCAGAAGTGTCCCGTCCTTATTCTGACACACAGGCAAACAGACAGAGGGAAGGTTGCAGAGGAAAGAAAGAGGAAAAAAACAGCACAGATAAGTGGTTGTTAACATGTTAGTGCCACATGCAAAACGCACTCAGCATTTCTGAAGAGCAACTGCACAGCCCCTCTCCAAAGCAGCAAGCTCAGGGTAGCAGGACAGGCAGACAGGAATGCAATCCAGCTCAGGTGCAAGCCCTTCCCCACAACAGGCCAGCAAGAAAAGAGGTTCTAGCAGTAACTGCCCATAACACATTACAGCATTTAAAGTGTTAATTTGTTGAAAAAAATCAAAAGGTACTGGGCAAAAAGGGAGCAGCTGATGTGACCAGAAAGTATGTACGGGGTACAGAGACAGAGGTTTCCTTCTCTCACCATGAAGATTTCATGTTCAGGACAGAAGAACCAGCTGACTCCTTACCTCTTCAGTATTTTCTCGGCCTGCTGTTCAGAGATCTTGACTCCCAGGTCCCGAAGGGACTGTACAATCTCCTGGGCATCGATACGGCCTGCGAAGATAAGGCCGTGAGCTCAAGTACATGTGTGACCAGCTGAAGCAAGCAGTAGTCTATTGGTGAGCAAGAGAAAGGTGCTTACCATCGTTCTTCTTGTCCAAACTCTTGAAGACCAGTCTCAGTTTCTTCTCGTGGTCTTGGAGATAGTGAACAAACTCCTCAAAATCCAGCTGTCCATCCAGGTCCTTGTCTCCAGCCTTCACAATTTTCTGTTCAGAAGACAAAAACCAAAAACCATCAGCTCCTTTGTTTGCTCAGATCTGCCCCTTCTTGCACCATATCCAAATACTATTTCCCACATGACTTTGGCCTTTCCCCCTCAGAAAGCAGCTGACAGAATTATGAAAGTTCCTCAAAGAAATCTGAGCAAAGCGTCCAAAAGTCACCTGCTTCCAGGCAACCCTCTTCCAAAGTTAGTTACGCAAACGAAATGCCTCATGCTTTTACTGGGGATACTCTGCTACTATCAGGTATCTCATCTCAGCCCAACATCTTGATTAACATCCTGCATGACAGCTCAAGAGCTTCCGCGGGGATTAAGTGTGAGGCAACCAGATTTGCATAAAATCACCAAAGTTCAGTAATAATAAAGTCAGCAGGAGAAGGAATTTCATGCCTAATACGATACTTAGAGAACTAAGCCACCTCTGGCAAGAACCGACTCCGACCAGAAAGAGCCTGTCCAGCTCTAGTGGACACAGCCAAAGATAAAAACCCCTCCGAACTGGTTTCAGTACCCCGGAGCTATGTGCTTTAATTGTACAAGTTTCCCTGAGAAGCATAAAGAACGAGGAAAGGTTCTTAGTAGGGCAAAGCCAGAATCCAGATCAGATGGTGTCAGACATCTAGGACAAGGCGAATGATGAATTAACTCATTCCAGCATGGGGCAAGAGCAGATGAACTGTCCTACCTAGGGGCACGTGGCTCCTTGTTGACAGGAGAGGTGATCTCCAGGCTGCAGGAATGTGGCTCAGGGAGTTCCCATTTCCCTTCTCGCTCAGTCACTTGCCTTTGACAGCCCTCCCCAACATGAGTCAGTGAGCGACACAAAGCGGTGCGTGATTCCGCCTACTGCATCGCCTGTATTTTGGTTGTAACCCTGGTACCACTTCTGTGAGCGGCAGGCGGGTTGTTAAGGAGGCTCTGAACCACGACCCAGCACCAGGCTGACCCCATTTGCCAGGATTTTGTTCAATATTTAGGCTTCAGAGGTAACAGAGAAACCCAAGCTGCTGGTGCTATTTCCCCAGCCTCTGGACACTGGTGTCCATTAGCCAAGTTTTGATTTCACTGCTATTTTAAGATAATTTCAATGCTGAACACTTCCCTATGAAAATTCCGCCTTCCCCTTGCCCCGCCATGCCCTGTCATTGCGGCCCTAATGCTACGAGGATCATCCCTAATCATTTAGGAGCTTTAAATAAGAAAGTGCTGTCCCAACCACGCTGACCTTTGAGGCGTGCCCAGCCTCGCTAACCTGCCACTTATCACATGCCTGACGGAAAGTTCATGCCCGGCTCCGCAGCCAGCTCGCGGGCTATAGATAGCCCAACCCCTCTCACATGCTGCAGCCACCCCGACAGCTGAACCAGGGCTTCCCCCTGAGCCTAACCCCGGCCAGCTGGCAGCCATGAATAATTCGGGGACAGCGCCGAGATGGGACTGTGCAACTCGCCGTCCTCTATGAACAAAAAGCTGCCTGCAGCTCCTTGCTGTACCGGCAGGGAAGCGATGGGGGCAGGCAGAGCCGCTCCCCGGCTGCGTTGCACAGCCACCCACACAGCACGTGGACCTGCGGCGTGCTCGGGACCCCACGCATCCCACAGCCGGGTTGGTGGCTGCCCCAAAAGCAGCCCCACCGCTGGCTGCCCATGCTCTCGAGAGCCTGGGGGTGAAAACGCTGCCAGCAGCAGCCAGCTGGAAGCATGGGCTGTGAGATGGAGCCAAGCAGAGCGCTTGGCAGTCCCTGGATCTGCCATGAGCAGGGAGAGAAGAGCTCCTGGACGAGCTCCCCGCTCAGCAGCACGTGGCCGCTGCGGCAGCAAGCAGGGCTCAGGGACACGGGGCAGACCCGGCAGCACGCAGGAGGAAAAGGAAGAGGATGTGCAGCCTTTAATTAGAGCAGAGGAAGCCGCAGCTTGAAAAAAAGACTATTTAAATTGCGTCACACCAACTGGTCTCAGCAGCCTGAGAGGCACAAAGCTCCTGCCGGAATTAAGGGAAAAGAACCCAGGAGCCCACCCGCCCTGCTCCGGGACACGTGGCCGTGCCCCAATATTACAGCGGGGCCCTAACGAGCTTCTCCCCCCCTTGAGCAGCCACCTGGGGCTGTCCGAGCCCCCCCGGCAGCACCCAGCCGCGGCCCTACCTGCTTCCACTGGCGGTAGGTGGAGAACTCCTGCGAGGGGATGAAGAGGCTGAGGCGGAAGATGGATTTGAGCTCTGCCGGCAGCCCCTTGGACTCAAAGTACTCGAATTCCGCCTGCTCCTGCCCCAGCAGCGGCACGTACAGGCAGAGGCAGAGCATGGTCCTGAGCCGGAGCCTCGGCTGCCCTGCTCCGACGGACGAGAAGGGACAAGAAGCGAAGGGAAGGCGAGTCCTGAGCCCTGTGAGCTGAGCTCAGCGCGGTGGGAAGGAAATGCCGGCGAGCCCCACGCCACGCGCCTATGAGCGCCCCAGCTCGGGTGGGACTGGCTGCTCAAGCCCTGCCCTTCTGCTTAAAAGGGAAGCGGTAGCAGCCCCGGCGCACTCGTCACAGCCAGCAGCCTCCCACGAAGGCTCCGCCGCCGGCACCAGCCTCCCAGTACACTCCCAGTGATCTCCCAGTACGCCCAGAGCCCTTGCATCACTCCTCACCGCGGTTAACTCTTGCTGAGTGTCTCCTCTCGCCCAGGCTTCAGCCAACACCCGCGGCACTCGCCTGCTGCTCCGTCCACCCCATTGCTCCTTCCCAACCCTGCTGTGTAACACCAGGGACCTGCACACCCAGCACTGCGGGATCTGGGCTCCATCACCACCTCTCCCAGCAGCACTGATGCCACCTCCCCAAATTACTTCCTATAAAGCCAGTAAGAAGCAGGGTGGCAGCCACTTGTCGCTTTCACATCGTATTTGGGATGCCCACCTCGAGCTAAAGCCTCAAATCCCACTGTTAGAGCAGCTCCTCTGCTGTGCCTGAGTGCAGTGGCTTTGGCAGGGGCATTTCCCCAGACACCAGCACACTGATGGAGGCAGCGATGAAGGGCACTGCCCAGCAAACCTCCCGGACCACGGGCAGGCTTCCAGCACCCCCAGCTGCTCCCAGCACGGCTCCCCCAGCAGCCAGGAGCTGCCCGGCCTCCCCCGGCCCCAAGGCACTCGGTTGTGCTCCGTAACGAGAAGTGGTCCAGGCAGAAAGACATTTCCCAGTTCCTGCCACTCAATTTAGCCACTTGGTGAGTGACTTCCCGAGCTCTCATCCCAAACACAGCCGGACAAGGGGGAGCGTGGCACAGGCAGCAATTACCGCAGGTGTTAATTACAGGCTTGGGGGCGCTTCCTGCAGCCAGGTGCCCAGGATAACGCCCAACCCCGCAGTGAACACACCGACCGACTGCCAGCACCACTATAGAACACGAGTTATGAACACAAACTGCATTTCTATCTTGAAATTCTCCATAGAGCTGTCCCGCTGAGGACCCAAACCCGGTGAGCAGGGTCCCAGACGCTTGGTGCTGGCCGTGCTCGAGGCACCACTGCTCGCACAGCGCCGTTTCCTTGTGTTTGCTCTGCTCAAACAGATCTCCCGGCCAGGGCAAAGTCCAGGCAGCGCTCCCCTCCTCGCAGCTTGATGCTCGGGGGGCCCTTCCCACTGCCACGGCGTTGTTTTGCTCTTTAGATTTGGGGAAAAAGCCAAGGGCAGTCAGGAGCTGTTTGCAGGGCGGCATGTCCATGACACGAAGTGAGGATATTTAATCTGGGGGTTATTTCAAGGTTTGTTGTTGGTTTATTTTGCTGAAAAGCTTAACAGCTCGTGCCCCGCAGCCGTGGGGTGCCACGGGGAGCCGTGACCCACGAGGGCTTCCCAGCACCTCACCTGCCCCGACACCACTGTGTTACCTAACCGGGCTTAACCTGCTCCCTGCTGACGTCTCCGCACAAAAACAGGATCTGCTCAGCGCCTCCCGATCCTCTTAGGGATCAGCTGCAGCAGCTCACCACACGCACACCACCACACACCCCAGGCTGCCCACCCTGCATCTCGCTGCAAGCAGAGCCCCAACTTCACGCATGGGACTTCCAGAAGCAGCCAGCCCAGGGCAGGTGCTGAATGACCAAACAGAACCCAAATTTGCCCACCAAGCCTCGAGATCCCCTGCACGCCTTCCCCCGAGCCGCCAAGCATCACTATTCCAGGCGCTTGGCGGCTCAGTTGCCATGCCGACGTGATGCAGATTTCCCTAATAAACTCCATCGCCAGTTGGCAGCTAGAACAAAAGGCAAAATCTGCACATTTTAGGAAAGAAAGCCTTACCACCTACGTCAGAAGAAAGGAGAGGGGTAGCGAGGCTAAGAAAGCTGATTTATGCAGGGTATTAATTACAGGACAGCAAGCTAAGAAGGAGAGGCAGATTATGAACTAAGCTTATACCGGCAGCTCTGGTTATAATGACGAAGGGAGTTTAAAAAAAGCGTTTACCAGTTCTTAGATTTCACCTAAAAATCATCCTGGTAAGTGTGGAAGCATCCAACAGCCGGACAGGTCTGCGAGCTGCTGGATCCATGCTGCCTGCACCCCAGGAGCAAGGGCTCGCTGCCCCCTGCCACCACGCAGCCCCCAAATGCTCATGGAGCCCCAGGGCTTGAGATGTGGGATCTCCGGGCAGTGCATCCCCCAAAAACAGGCTGCGTCCCCAGCCCATCGAGCCAAGGGCAGGGCTGAGAGCAGCAAGGCAAGCCAGCCCTGCCAAGTCACCCTCGCCATCACCACCAGCTGTCACCCCACAAATTAAGGCAGCAGCGGAGGGCCCTGGGCTCCTTCCACCAGATACTCGCTCTTCTTCTCACCAAGGAACCCGCCAACCCGTTTTCCAGTTTATTCATGGAATTTGGCCCTTGCTTAAATGTTGTGTTAGCAGCTCAACGGGCTGCCACGTCAGCGTTACCCTCCCCAAGTCATTTGTAGTCCCCCAGGCATCTGCCTCCCCGCTGGCTTCCTCCAGCAGCCCCGGGAGGTACCTCCCAGAGGATGGGCAGACGCAGCCATACAAGGAGCAGAGACTACGCCGTTGGATTTTTAATTTACTTGGCTAAAAAAAAAAGTCCCTAAAAATATCAAGTGGCGGCGAGCGTCACAGCCGCACAGCTAACATCCTGCGGAGGCAACGAGCTCTCGGGGCGAGCGCTGAGACCCGCGGATGGCAGGAGGTCCTGCTGACTCGGGGCTTTGATTGCTGGAAGTTAGCTGATAATTAATTGTACAGTACAGAAAGTCCTCGCGGAGCACAAACAGCGGACGGAGGGGGGAGTTAATGATTGCAGAGACCCCGCAGAGCAGCGCGGTGCAGCGGTCGGCCAGGCCCGGGGCAGGACAAGGATGGGGCAGGCAGACAAACGCTGTGTGACACAGGGGTGAGCACACCGGGAGAGGTGACAGCAGGAAAGGTGAGCCGCGGCGCTGACAACACCGCTCCAAAGTCACAAGTCCAGGCGGTGACATGGAGGGCAGGTCGTGCCTCTGCTGCGCACACGCCCCGGAGCCAACGCATCGCCTTTCGGGGCGGCGTTTTCGCCTAGGTTCTCCTACACCTCGTGTCAAAGCCTTTGGTGAAGGAGCTGAGCTGCCAGCAACACGAGGATCGAGGAGCCATGGCTAGGAAGCACCCTCAGGCATTTATGGAGCACACAAATTCCTTATGGGAAGCCCAGCACAGTGCTGCGTGTGCTTTTAGCAGCTACAGGCACCCTCAGGAAACAAAGCGGCACGCGGCAAAGACACTTACCCCAAGGTCAGCGCCGTGCAGAGGCCAGAAGCCAGGAGTCCCCCACATTTTCTTTACCCCTCCCATAACACCGGCTGCTCGCGGTGATTTACAACCTGCCCCTAAGGGACTTTTTGCAACACCCCTACTGCAGACAGGTAATCGGAGCACAGATACACGAGCGAGCCTTGCGAGCTGCTGTCCGTTAGCCGAGCCGCGGTGGCTGGGTGCAGCATGAGCAAGGTAAAACCCATCTGCATAATCCTCCCAAGGACAGCTCTGCTCCATATTTTACTGGACAGGGAGGACAGGCTAAAATTACACAGCCCCAGCCCCGCAGCAGATGGGCAGCTCCTTCCTAAGCGGCAGTAACTCCGTGTTAGCGCAGCCTTATCCTCCAGGCACTCCTGCATTAGCCAATTTTAGGGTTCCTACAAAGCCAAGCTTCTCAGGGTCACGGAGGTGAGAGGAGATCGCTGTCAGCGCCCTCCCCACTGCAGAGACAGCCTCATCTGCAGGTGTGGACAGCTGACTGAAGCCATTGTTCCCTCGGCAGGTACCGGAGAGATTTGCAGCCCTGCTCTCTCCAGGTTTTCATCACAACCTCATCTGTTCTGAGCCTCTGTCCTTCTCCAACCTCCACGCACAGGAGCGCTCCTCTTCTCAAGGCGCACACGCCTCTGGATTTGGAGGAGACGCGCAGTGCTCACTGCCGGCGGCAGGGATGAAGGCAGAAGTCTTCCTCCCTGCAGATATCCCAGCGGGGCTGAGGCAGGGAGTGGCTGCTACTCGGCAGGACGTGAACACCCCCTGCCCGCTCCCACTCGCAGCCCCAGCAGGAGGTGTTCAGCCCCCCCCCAGCCCCAGCCATGCTCAGTGCCCATTTCAGGGAGAAGCCCGGCAGCAGCAGCCCCATTTCCTTACGGAGCCAGCTGGATCCTGCCAGCCACCCACTGCCTCCCCTCCGCGCCGCATCCAGTCCCGGCTCCCCCAGGGGCTCTGCCAGGTCACAAACCCCACAGGATGCCCCCCCGGCCTTCCCTCCCCCTCACAAACAACCCAGAACTGCCAGCAGTCAGCCTCGTACTACGAGGCCAGCAGGAAACAGCCGCTTTTGTTCGCCTCCCCCCAGACAAAGCCTCGCCATTCACCCGCCGCCAACCGCGCGCCCCCCACAACCCCCGCTCGCCCACCCCAGGCACTTCCCAACCCTACAGATTTTGGCCCCCTCCCCAGGGCCAGCCCTGCCTGCTGCAGGCCATGCTCAGTTACTCAGCACATGGCAGCTCTCTGCAGTTTCCAGGGGGTTGCCAAATGACCAGACCGACCCCAAAGGATTTCAGGACCTTTTGGGGTCCCTCTCCTGTCACTGACCTGCATCACCACCCCCTGCCCTCCAAGTCACCAAGGATCCCAGACCCCCTCCTCCCTTTATAAGTATTTTTCTCCTTGAGCATCACACCCAAAAGGTTACATCGTCCCTTTGCAGCCGTTCCCCTGCTCCCCCCCGTTTCCCTCCTGGCAAGCCCACGCGTCGGGCCCGCTCGCTGCTGCCGCCCCCTCCCCAAGCACACACACACACAGCTCGGCCCTGAGCGCTCCCCCTGCTCCCCACTGGCCTGGCCAACCCCTCTGCAGGCCCCTGGAGGTCCCGTTACCTTCGGAAAATGCTCTGCGGGTCCAACCACCAGTAGGATAGTTGGTCTCCTTTCAGTGGGGTCAGTCCCTCTGTCCTGGGGCTTCCCCACCATCTTTGGCCCTTTCTCCCCGGGGCCTGGAAGCGGGCTGCCGTTCCCGGCCTCATCCTCTTTTTCAGCTGCAGGACCTTGGCACACGGCCCTGGGAAGGAAGCTAGACAGAAAATGCCAAAGGCTCTGCAGCATCGCCTCCGCGGCGAGCGTCCCCGGCAGGGAAAGCCCCCCAGGCTCGCAGCCGCCCGCTGCCGAGGGTGCTGAGCACCCCGCCGAGCACCCCGGGGACGGGAAGGGGCACGGCACCAGCGGGAGGTTCGAGCCGGTGGCTCTGCAGGCTCCGATTCCTCAGGGCCCGGCTCCTGCGGATGCTTCCTGCCTTTGGAAATTGCTGCTAGCGCGGTCGTGCCTGGCCTGCCAAGCAGCTCATTGTACCAGAGCCTCACAAATCTGGTGGCAACAGACAAAGCGCAAGGAGCTCCGGCGCGGAGAAGCCAAGACGCCGAGCTTTGCACGGAAAAGCCGAGATGCCGCGCTCGGGAGGAGGGCTAGGGAAAAAAAAAAAAAAAAAAAAAAGAAGCTTTTCGGAAAGGCTCCGGCTTCTCAGAGGCGCCGAGGCGCATCCCAGTGGCAGGGCTGAGCACCGGGGCTGCGTCCCCACTGCAGCAGCGCCCAGCCAATCGCCGCTCCCAGCGCCGCAGGGCTCCGGAGCCAGGCAGCGCGCGCAGGCGGCCGGGAGCGCGCGGGGACCCGCGGGGAGCGCGCCCGGCGGGCAGGGAAAGCGGCCAGAGCGGCCCCGGGGCAGCTCGGGGCTGGGCACAGGGGTTACCTACCCGCTCCTGGGGCTGGGCAGAGGATGGGACTCCGGAGCTGTGGCTGAATGGACCTCGAGCTGCTCCCTGTCTCCCCGGGGGCTATCAGAGCGCCATCCGTCACCGCAACAGCTGCTGGTGCCGCATTGTGCTCCTGCCAGCAGGCTCCCAGCGCCCTGCTGGCACCGGGTGGCCGCTTATCCAGCACGCTCTGACGCGCCGTGGGTACGGCACCGCCGAGCAAACGAGCTGGGGCTCTGCATGATGAGCGAGGGATTAGCTGGGCACAGAGCGCAGGCAGCACCAGCAGCGCATGGCCCAGAACACAAAACATCCCCCTGGGAGCTCCTGGACCTGCTGCGGGGCTGCACCACAGCCCCCGTGAGCAGCACCAGCCCCCCAGGCACCCCGTGTCTGTGCTGGGGTAGCAGGGAGCTCCTTGGCAGCCCCCATCCCTGCCCACCTCCTGTGTCTGCAGAAGGAGGGCACCGCGTGCCTCGCCTCCCGGAGTGCTACAGTGCTGCCCTACAAGCACAGCTCGTTTCTGTACCCCAATAACACAGCACGCTGCACATCCCATCACCGAGGCTCCCACTAGCAGCTCGGCGAACTCCTCGCCACGCACCCGACCTCCATTTCCAGTTTTTAACCTTTGCCGGTGGCAAACAGGAGGAAAGTTTTGCTTTACGGGCATCAGATACAGAACTACAACCCAAAACCTGGACAAACGACAAGTTTTAAGCAGCCCATCTGCAAATAGATGTGAGAGGAAGAATGTAAAGCATCTCATTTTAGGGGACTTGCTGCTGCTGAATTCCTTTAAGCAACCTGAGTAATGGAAAAAGGGACGAGCACACAGAAGAACTCACATTACAAAGAATTCTGCAAATGTGCTTCAGGGTTACCTAACAAGACAAAAATGCTGCTCAATCACAAGGCCCACACACAGCACGGAGAGGTTTTAACTTTAAACCTCAAGGCACACACCGGGGCAGGACCAAAAAGGGAAGGGAGAGGCAGCCACACGGGGCACTGAGCAGGGACACGGCTCAGGCACAGCAGCAGCAGGTAGGGAGGTGTCTGTGTGGTGCTGCTGACAGCACAGAAGTTACACTGCTTTCTGTGGACCCAAATCACAGCCCTTTGAGGTGGGGTTTTAGCATTTTAATGCTGCTGAGCCAAAGGAGGAGCAAAGCAGATTCTCTGAGCCAGGCACAGTCCCACAAAATCCACTTTTAGCAGCCTGAGGCTACAGTCCCAGCAGCAGCAGCGAACTGGAGCTCTCCTGGTGGCCGGGAGCTTCAGGCAGCTCCCACAGCCCCATCAGCCCCACGCTCACCTCGCTCCCACAGCCTCACCGACACAGCCGGGACACGCAGAGCGCTGGGGAACAACTGCAGGCACGGACGGGGTCAGGAGGAGGCAGGCACACGGCTCTACCAGAAGGATCAGATACGGAGGGCAGGGCACACGAGCAGGACTGGGCTTGTGCCGGTGGTCACGGCGCCGGGCAGCTCCGTACGAGGACCTGCCAGGCCAGCAAACCTCACTGGGAAGCACTGCTCGGCTCCGCCGTGCTGGGCGAGCTGCTGGTTGGGGTGTGTGCATGGCAGGGACCCCATCTGCCTTCACCCATGCACCATAAACAGTCATCTGTGCAAGAAAGTACTTGCTCGGAGAGCAGTTCCAGCAGGAACTCGGCAACTCTTCCTCGGCTTTTGTCCTCGCTACTGAAAACCTCGGAGGAATTCCCCCAGCTCCTGGAGAACAGACTTTTCTAATCATATTTGGGAAAAAAATAAAAAGCATTTATTTTACCAAGCGAGGAATGTTATTAGGTCAGAACAATGAAGGCAGTGACAGCGGGATGAGACAGCTGCAGGCAAGGCTCTCCTCCGGGGAGCCGCACACCAGCACCACCCCGGCACCAGGAGGCCGAGCGCTCACGCACAGAAGATGCCACAAACGCAGCAGGTCCGGCCTGAGCCGGCACAAAGAGGAACAAAAATTCATGTTTTTTTTCTAGAAATTGCAAACCGAGGCTGTCCCAAAGCTCCTTGCCCTACCTAACCCCTGGCAGGGTCGGGCTGTCAGGAGGGGAGGGCTCCTGGGGACCCCGCTGTCCTGCATCACCGAGGTACAGCCCTGGGGTCGGGAGGAGAAGGCAGTGACGAAGCCCAAACGGAGACAAAGGAGAAGGGAGAGAGCGGGAGGATGCCGTGTTTTGCTTAATTAGAACAGTGCTCGCCTCGTGGTGCCGGCTGGCGAAGGGAGGTCTCCTGGTAGGTTCCAAATCTGAGGTGTTTTGGATCTTCTCCGATCCCACCCCGTACACCCAGTACCTGCCACGTCTCCCGCGGGCCCTGGGGTTTTTCAGGGCCGGCAGCACCGGGCAGGAGCCGAATCCCAGCCCCTGCCGGCTGTGAGAGGGCTTCTGCACCGCTCCTGGGCGAGCACGCAGCCTTTTCCAGCAGGAACCCAAGTCCGATCAGCAGACAGCTAGCTCACGCCGAAAAAATGCGGGAGGGAGGGTGAAAAGCGAGCTGGGCAGAGGGAAGGGGAGCAGCCAAACCTCGCCTCCCGCACAGGGGGAGCTGCCCCAGGCCCGGCGTGACCCCGCGGTGACGCAGCTCCGGGACGCCCCCGAGCAGGGACACCCGAGGAATGCTGCTGGCAGCACTCTGGCGCTCACCTCTCGTCTTTCCCTACGTAATTAGGGAAAGATGAGACTTGACAGACTTTAAATGGGGAAAGGGAGCCAAGAGGAGCCCTGCACGGCACTTCTGGCAGCGCGCTGGAGGAACCTCAACGTCTTGGCCACTGCTGCTCAAGTACCGAAGCTGCTCAGCACCAGCCAGCCCCGCTCACCTATCGGGGTGGTGGGGCAGAGCCCAGACAGCAGCAGGACGAAAGGCAGGCGTCTTCGCAGGAACCCGGGCACAGGCACAGTGCTGGGGGAGCTCAGGGATCCACCACGGCCGCGTCCCATCCCGGAAGGGCCAGAAGGGCGCCCTCAGCGCTCAGGAGGTGGCCACTCGGCCTCTCCCTGCACCCCACGGCTCAGCGGGCACAGCCCCGCAGGAAAGCAGCAGCTGAGCCGTGACGGCCCCGCAGCCACGTCACCCAGCCCCTGCTCACCTCTGGGGACACAGACCCTGTGTGGCAGCGCCTCTCGGGGCAGCTCAGGGCCCGGCGGGGTCAGCAATTGCTCCCGGAGCACAGCTCCCTGCCCCGAGCCCCCCCCAGTGCCGTGCTCCTGGCAGCGATGCCACCGCTGCTCTGCCTCGCTCTGACAAACTCCGGGGTGTCACCGAAGCGTGCTCATGTCCCACATTTAGGGGCACAGCCATGAACACAGCCTCATTGACCACTTTTCTTCCACGTGTTGCTCATTTGCGGGGGCTCCCAAACAGGAGGGCAGTCCTCGTGGCAGTGCTAACACAAAGCTGTGCAGCCAGACCTGTCACTGACTGGTGTTCCTTGAGGAAAATCGAACTACGACCAAGTACACTCGAGTTTGGGGTCCATTTCCCTGCCCTTATCCCAGTAATTCCATTTATTCCCCTCCTGAGCTGACCACCCAGCAATGCCCCGGCTCGGAGGAGGATCTGTTTCAGGCTGCTCACCAGGGAAGGCAGCCCGGGTAATTAAACACCGCCACGCAGAGCTGCCAGGGAAAGGCCAAAGCCCCAGCACCAGCCGGGCTCGGGGCACCAGCTGCCCCGCACCAGCTCCAGCGTTTCATTGCACCCAGCTCGTGGACCCCGCGGGCATTTGGGGCAAGCAGCACCCCCAGGGCACAGCCCCACGGGGACACAGGGCACCTCTCTGCAGTCCCCCTCCCTCATCTCAGGCATCACGCCTGGCGTTCTGGTGGGTTGCGAGGGGTTTGTCCACGTCTTCACAACACCTCCTGGGGTGAAACGGAGCTGACTCAGCCCCAAGCACAGACGCAGGGTTTATCTGCAGCACAATCACTGACCTACACCTTGTGTTTCGCCAGCACCCGGGAGCAGGGCTCTCCTCACGCCACGTTTCAGAGCACGCAGAGCCACCAGCCCCGCTCCCCACGGGCAGCAGACACCCCGTTCCTGGCTGATTTAACACAAACCTCTGGAGGTATTTGAGGTGTCATTACCATGAGGTGAAACCGCTCTCAGACAGGCTCAGGGCATCTCCATTTGTTCTCTTAGCCAGGAGAGGTGACTGAGAGGCCACCAGCTGGAACCTCAGCCCGTAACACAGCCTCACTCAGGCAGAGTTGGGGTGGCTTCCTTTGGGAAGGTGAGAGCGAGGCAGTCACACAGGTTAAGGCCGGGAGAAACAAGGATATCAGAGAGGCCAAATCCATCAGTTTTTAGCAACACGCCATCTCCAGATACAGAGCAGGAGGCACAGTGCTGGCTGCACAACCCATACTCCCATTGAACACATTTTCAGTTCTAAAAACCCACACAAACATCTTCAGGAGGGGAGGCAGAGAGCAGCAAGAACATTGACTGCTCCCGAGGCAGGTTCGTGCTCCCTGCAGGGGACATGAGCCTCCACAGCAGTTTCCCGTGGCTGTTCCCTTCCTGCTCAGGCAGCGAGGTGTGCGCGTTGCTTCCCGGCCCCAGCACAAACAAGCGTTTCTCTGGAAAGCTCATAGATCTGGCACGCGGTATTTGTCAAATGGCTTAAAGATAACAGCACAGCCTTAAAAAAAAACATGGTTTACATAAGCAAATTCCACCCCAAAGGACATCTGGGTCCAACTTCTCTCCCCGCCACCGAAGGCCACCCCAGAACAAAAGGCAGCAGCTTCCTGAACACAGCCCGGGGCTTTATCTGGGTGAGAACCGGGAGGCTGGAGGAGACAAAACATTGCTCCTTTGCTCTGAGTGCCAGCCCAGAGCGGGCACTGCTGCCACCAGGACTCGTGGCCTGCTGACAGAGCTCAGCCGCCCACAGCTGGCACTGCCCTGGCATCGCAGGGCTGGTGTTTGTCCCTGCTGTCCCTCAGGCACGGGGAGGGAGCTCCCCTATCAAATGTCCTCCTGCATGGGAGGAGCAGTGAGAGGTACCCGAGGCCCTGAGCGAGTTACTGAGCACAAGCAGCCCGTGAGATTTGTGCTCAAACCCATCTCCAACACCACGTCTGCTCCACCAGAGGTTTTCATCCCGACCTTACACTGCCCTGACTGCGACGTGGCGTTAGGCACCCACGTGTCAGTGTCACCCCTGAGCCCGGCTGGAGAAGGCAAAGGAACGGCTTTTAATAGAACTCCCTGGGAAACAGGAAGTTTGTGAAGTTTTTAAAAAAAGCCACAGGGCGGAAGCTTTCCAGCTGGCTCTCACGTGCCCAAGTGGAACCCAGAGCTCCAAACCCTGCGTTCAGCCCCTACCCTGGAGCTCTCACACTGCTGCAGGGGGGGCTCTGATGCCCCCACCAGCTCCGTTTCTCTACCCAGCTGCTTCCTGCAGAGCAGGAGTGGAAGCAGAGGAGGAAAAGGCATTTGGGTTCGTGGCACATCCTCACAGCCTGGAAAGTGTCAGGCTGGATGGAATGAAGTCCCTGGGAGGAAAAGGGAATGTGAACCGAGAGCTGCACACAGGGCACAGAACATTCTGGGGCACAGCCTCCTGCCAGCACCCAGGGCTCCAGCCCCACGGGCAGCAGGCCGGCATGTCACAGGGTGTGCACAGCTGATTTATGGGGTGTGATGGGGGGCGATCGGGTTTCAGCACCGAAGCAAATTGCCACGGCATGGCAAATTTAGAAGCAGCAGCAGGAAATCACCCCCAGGATCCTCGTGCTGCCCAAGAGTTATCACGCTCTGCAGCAAGGTGCCAACTGAAAAGCAACGTTAACACCTAAAAGGGGTTACAGTTAGAAGGGAGCCAGCACCTTTGGGAAGAGTGGATGCACATGGTCAGAGCAAGTGAAGGGATCAGGGAGGGCGCAGGAGCCATCGTTTCAGTTTTCTCCTCTGCCTCAGAAGCTCCCTGCCGGTCACAGCCCGGCTGCGGCCCTTCCCCTCCCTGGAGTCATCCCGGGACACGCAGCGCTTTTATGACCCTACACCCATAACATGGGCCGAGCTGCGTGTGCCCCGATAAGCTGCTTCCTGACTCACAGGGACCTCAACCCCACTAAGCGCGATGAAACGGGGCCGTGTCCCCACGGCTGGCACCGGGGCTCCCCATAGGCAGCCCCGGGAGCTGGGTGCCGGCAGCAGGTGGCAGCTCCCGATGCCCAGCACCCAGCGGGGCGCTTCGTAGGGTTCGTGTGCCAACGGCACGGCCCCAGAACCCTTCAAAAAAAAACCTGACACGGGATTACCGAGCACGAAACGGGCCCTGCCCGTACCCCCGGTGCCCCCCGCCCCCCGCTCACCAGCAGGTCCAGCTCGGTGCGGTGCAGCCCGAGGCGGCCCAGCCCCACGGCCAGGTCGTGGATGCAGAGGGCGCCGTCGCGGTTCACGTCCAGCTTCTGGAACAGGGCCCGGAGCCGCCGCTCCTGCTCCGAGGCCTCGCACAGCGCCCGCCCGCAGGGACCGGCACCGGGACCGGCACCAGGAGCCGCCGCCGCCACCACCACCGGCAGCACCGTCGGTCACGGAAGCGGTGCCGGGAGCGGCGGCGGCCCGCGGGGAGCCGCAGGGGCAGAGCACTCCGCTCACCACGGGGGACGCCAGCGAGCGCCGCGCCCCCGGCATCCTCCCGCCGCCCGCCCCGCCGCCAAATGGCGGCACTTCCGCCGCCGCCAGCCGCCGGCCGCTTCCGCCTTCGCGCCACGCGCCGCCGCCCCCACGTGACGCCCCCCCGCCGCCCAATGGTAGAGGTTCCCGGCGCTGACGTCACGGCCGGCACGCGCTGCCTCCCGGCTCGCAGCCAATCGGAACGCGGCGTCACGCGCGAGCCAGTATAGGAGGGCTGAGCGAGCGCCTATTGGTTAAAACGCCGGGGGGGAGGCGGGGAAAAGCTGCGGTTGCTCCAATCAGATCGCGAGCCCGGCCTCCGTTTGATCTTGACGGACGTGGCGCGCACCCAGCAGCTTCCAGACGGGGGTGGGCGCTGTGCGTTGATTGGCAGGGAAGCAACCAATAGGATTAGAGCGGGGAAATTTAGGGGCGGGCCCGGCCTCACGGAGGCCCAGTGCCATGAGGGAAGCGGGGAGGCGGGGCCTCCCCGCCCCTCCCCTTGACGGACAGCCGGATCGACCAATAGCCGCGCTCCTCTCCCACGGGGGGGCGGGACCCTGAGGGTGACGAGCAGCCGCGCGGCCCAACCAGGCGCGGCGGGACGGGGGGGCTGATTCTGGAAGCCATTACGCCAGTGTCGCAGGGCGGAGGCCGTTGAGCGGGGCCCGCCGGCTGCTGGCGGTACGCAAATTGCGTACCGTTGGCGGTTGCTAAGGGCCGCGGTTGGGGGGGGGGGAGCGGGAAGGGGGCGCGCGGCCTCCACAGGGCCCTGAGGGGCCCCGCGCCCCCCTCCCCGACCCGGGGGGGGCCGCGACCCCTCGAGGCGCCCCCAAAACCCTTTCACGAGGCTCCCCTCGGGGCCATGGCGTCGCCGCCCGCCCCCCCGGCCAAGAAGCGCAAGATGAACTTCTCGGAGCGCGAGGTGGAGATCATCGTGGAGGAGCTGGAGCGCGGCAAGCACCTGCTGGTCAACCACTTCAACGCCGGTGTGCCCCTGGCCGCCAAGGCCGCCGCCTGGCACGACATCCTGCGGCGCGTCAACTGCCGTGGCCACCTGCCGCCGAGAGCTGCCCGAGGTGAAGAAGAAGTGGTCGGACCTCAAGACCGAGGTGCGCCGCAAGGTGGCCCAGGTGCGGGCCGCCATGGAAGGACAAGGCGGTGAAGGACAAGGCGGTGGAGCAGGAGGAGGAGGAGGAGGAGGAGGAGGCACGGCGGAGGGCGAGGAGGCGGCGGGAGGGGCGGCGGCCGCCCCCGTCATCCTCACGCCCATGCAGCAGCGCATCTGCAACCTGCTGGGGGAGGCCACCATCATCAGCCTGCCCGGCGGGGAGTGCGGCGCGGGGGACGGCGGCGAGATCCCCATCACCGCCGCGGCCGCCACCGTCACGCTGACGCAGAGTGAGTGCGGCGCCCGCACGAGGGGCGGTTGGAGGTCTTGTGGGGAGCCCCCGCAAACCCCCACCCCAAGTTACTCCGTAACGAAAAGCCCGTTCCCAAAGTGCTGTAGGGGAGCGGCTCCAAGGTGTTCGTGTACTGGAAGTCAGCTTTGACAGCTGGGGTCGGCCTTAAGAGCAGGAATTGTGCGGTCCCCTTCTCACAGAACAAAAGCAAAGGGAGAAATATCTCCAAGGCCGACTCCCTGGTGTGCCCCAAAGAGGAGCTGTCTGGTTGATAGGCGCCGTTCTGGGCCTTTGCCCTTCCGTCAGTTGGTGAATGGTGCTTGGAAGGAGCCCGCCAAACTGCAGGGTGAAGCGGGATTCTGTCTAGACAGACATAGCGTGCCCTGTTCCCTTGGACTTTAGCGTGTACACCCCAGAAGGAAGCCGAGATGAGGGTGGAGCAGCCTTAAATAGCTCATTTTGTGCGCTCACTGTTTGCTGTACGTTATCTCGGCGAACAGGCAGTGTTACAGTTACCTTCATTGAATAGTTCTGTAGATAAAACCACTCCTTTTGCCGCTGCTCCTTACCCCTTTCTGTCCTTTGTTCTCAGTTCCTGCGGAGACGACCTACCACAGCCTGGAGGATGGCGTCGTGGAGTACTGCACCACGGAAGCCCCCGCGACGGTTACGGCCGAGGCGCCCCTGGAGATGATGGCCCATCAGCACGAGGTGTCGGCCAAACCCCAGGAGCTGAAAAGCCGAATCGCCCTGAACTCAGCCAAGCTCCTGCAGGAGCAGCGAGTGACCAACTTGCACGTGAAGGAGATCGCCCAGCACCTGGAGCAGCAGAATGACTTGCTGCAGATGATCCGGCGTTCCCAGGAGGTGCAGGCGTGCGCGCAGGAGCGGCAGGCGCAGGCCATGGAAGGCACGCAGGCCGCGCTCAGCGCCCTCATCCAGGTCCTCCGCCCCATGATTAAGGACTTCCGTCGGTTTTTGCAGAGCAATACGCCCAGCCCTTCGGTGACTGCTGACCCCAGCCAGACCGGGCAGCAAGATGGCATTATCCAGTGAAAGATACGATACTGGGACGTCTTTCTTGGAAAACAAAACTGCCTCTGCTGCCGTTGGGCCCGGGGCGAGGGCTGCGAGCTCTTGTCGGTGTGAAACGGCCTCTCCTGGGAGGCTGGCCGAGCCCGGACAGCTTTCTTCTCCCCTAATCTTATGCTAAGCTGCCTTTTCAGACTCACCGTGCAGAGGGGTAGCCGGATGTGTAATAAAGCAGGAATGTAACATTGGTTGCTTTAGTTCCTCAGAACAATAGATTTGTTTAAAAAAACGTAGAAAAGATGATAATTATTTTTATATTTGTTTGAAAACCTCTCCTAAGTCTGATACCTCGCTTCCTCCCCCCCCCCTTTCTCTCGCCTTTATCTGCCTTGTAACAGGGAGAGCCTCCTTGTATCACAGTGCTGAAGCTGCCAAGGTACAGTTACTGTAACTGGTGCATGGCAGTGGGTGATTTCCTGTCTCTTGCTGAAAGCATTTGCTGGAAACGCGGTACCAGGGGCGGTTCAGCCCTGTCTCTGCACTGCGAGTGGTGGATGCTGCTCTGGGAGCATGAAATGCAGCCCACGCAGGCCAGCCTCAAGCCTACATGCGGTTTAAATCCCACCCACGTCCCCTTAGGATATAAATGGGGTTAAAAGCGAGCGTTCACCTCGTGTTCTGTCTGTGTGCGGCCAGGAGATTGCACTTTTAACTCGGCAGAGATGAAAAGGCCGTGCCTTGGTTAGCAGGTGCTGCCCTGGGCTGCGTGTCGGAGCACACACAGGTTGCACTCAGGTGGGCCTACAGGCGAAGCTCCAGCTCTGCCTCGCCACGCTTGTTCTGTCACCTCCTTGATCCGTTCATCCATCTAAGGGCCCGGACTAGAGGGCCTCAGCCACGCAGTGACTCCCAACCCCAAGGAGTTTGTCAGCCCCTCGTTTTAACGAGGTTTAGAGCATGAATTGGGTCTGGTGGTGGTGTTTGTTCTGTATTTTTCAGAGCTGGAGGCAGTACAGCAGCTCTTTGTTAGCCTGCTAACAGTTATTTCAGCCAGGTTAGTTTCCTGGCTTTGACCAGGAGGCTGAGAAACGGCTGCGAGGCTCAGCTCAGCCCTTCCTACAGTTACACGGGGTTGGGCAGCGTTCGCAGCTGCTGTTTGTGAGGCGCTCAGGCTGCTGGGTTCAGTCCTCACCGAGCGAGCTCAGTGTCACAGGGCACTAAAGGAGATTTGTACAGGCCCAGGGTAGCTTCATGACGTTTTAGACAGAGCTCCATGTGTACATGCATGGAAACAAACCCCAAAACTAAAGAGAAGGAAGCAGAGCTCTTTGCCCCATGCCTTGCAGAGCGTTTCACGTTTAATAGGCTTGGTGCTTGCCGGATGCTGCTTTTGAAACCGAACCTTTTCAGAGCTGGTTTTTGCTTGCTGTTACGTCTCCTGTGGGGCTGAGAAGTGGTGAACAAAGACTGCCGAGGGAGCGAATTGGCACAACCAAACGAAACCTTTACGTGTGTTATGGTGAGGTGCCGAGGGGGTCCCCCGGGTGGAGCAGGAGGCAAACAGGCTCCTGCTGCCCGCCCCTGTAGTGATCTCGTCTCATCTGCAAGTCTGAGGGCAGAGAAAAGAACAACGCAGCCCCAAGGCTTCGGCCCGGGAGGACTCCTGACCCCCTGACACCGACAGCTCTGCGCTGAGTCAGGGCGGCATCAGCGGCGCCTTCCCACCTTGCCTGGCACCGGCCGCGTGAGTAACGCTCGCCTGACTCCTCTCAGACGCGGTGGAGTCAAATCAATTGCTCAACTGAAGGCTATTTTTAAAGCAAAAAGCTCTGCCCTGTGTGTTGTTTTACCTCGTTTGTGTAACGATCTCTCCTTTGCAAATATAAATTTTAATAAAAAAAACACGTTTTTGGTAAACAGCTTGCAGTCCGTCGGCGTGCTGCGGGGCAAGGTGAGCTCGTGAAACCAAGTCAGCAGCACAGAGGGCTCAGTGAGAAACAGCCAAGGGCAGCTGTAAACAGCCAGGTGTCACGGTAGGTTTTTTTCCTCGTTTATGAACTTTGTGGCCTTGTATTTGCATAATTGTGCTCTTTTTTTTCCCCCAAATCACAGCTTTTACAGCCTTACCTCCCCGCGTGTGACAGACTCCCGAGGGATACCGACCTCCCGGCTGCCCCAGCCCAGAAGGAGGGATGCGGTGCCAGCCTCCCGACCGAAATCAGCGCTCGTCCTGGCGGTGCGAAGCCCTCAAGGTGTCACTGTTCAGAGGAGTGAAGGCGCTGCCCTCGGAACCTCACATTTTTCTGGTGTTTTCAGCGTAAACACGGAGCTTAGTCAGGCCGGCAGCGTTCGGGAGCGAGTTCCGCGTGCGCATTTTTGTCTCATTAAAGAGCTGTAGCAAGGTTTTAAGTACAGGGTGAGCACCGTCATTAGGGGCTTGGCTCATTTCAAGGTCATCGGGCTCGGGGAGGGAGAGAAAACGTGTCCCTGAAAGCCAAAACCAGGGGGGCCGGGCACACGGGGCACTTACGGGGCAAACACATGCATGGCATGGCACTGAACGGGGAATTTGTGCCCCAAGCAGAACGAAAGCTAAGGGGCAGCATCTCACAGAGGTCTGTTTGTACTCCTGTGCTGATCTTTTTGTACCAAGAGATTTGTGTTCAGCACCCAGAGCAGCGCAGGGCTGTGCTGTGCCTCGGAGGGGAGGACGAGCAGCCAGCGGTGAGCAGCATCCTGCAGACCTCTTGCTGCTGGAGGAAGAAACGCTTCTGGTGGGGCAGGAGACCGCTGAGCAGCAAGTCCAGGCAGTGGCCAAGCTGCTTGCGGCACCACCGGGTCCTTCAGAAGCAAAAACCTGGTCGCGAGGCTCAGGCAGCGAGCGGCGTGTGCAGCTCAGGCACGGCCTTCCAGGAGATGGCACTGCGCAACGCGGCGATGCCGAGCTGCAGCCTGCAGCAGGGTTCTGGGCGCCGCAGGGATGGTCCCAGAAATCACCCAAATCCTCCAGCCCTCTGGTGGGCCTGCTTCATCCTCCTACCGCTGGGTCTGCTCAGGTCGGAGAGCCCACGGAGGCAGAAATTCAACGGGCAGAGCTCAGGGAGGAGGAACGCTGCTCGCCATGGAAAATTCAGGCTGTCTGGGAACGGGGACACGGGCTGTGATGCTGGGGCTCGCAGCGATGAGTTCACTGCAGCACCGAGAGTGGGCAGGCACATGATAAAAAATGCATGAATTCCTTCATTATAACCAAAGGAACCGGTTGGAAGATTTTCTTTCCGAGGCCACACACGAATGTGTCAGCATCCCACGGGCACAGCGCTGAAATAGCTCCCTGCCAGCTCTGGGAGCCGATCCTGCAGACAGGCTGATATCATCCACACATCCACTGAACCTGCCTTGCCTCCCCCGACATGTTCTTAGTTTGTCGAGGCTGTTTTGGCAAAGCACTCTGCAGTTGGGTCGTCGGGTTGTGTTTTTCTTTTCTGTTGCCATCTGAGAAGTTATTGCCAGCAGGTATTGTCAACAGAAGCATGGCCTGCTTAGCTAAGTATGAAAATTGAGGCATTTCAGGTTCTTAGCATTCTTGAAAGCCTCTGATGAGCAGCTTACACAGATGACCAGCACAGCTTCCAGGCGAGTCAGCCCAAAGCCCCCACCGCCTGTAAACTGGGTTCAGGAGCCCCTGGTGCCATCCTGCACAGGGCAGAAGCCCGGCCCCAGCGGGGTGAGTTGCCTCTAGCTGGGATCCCACAAAAAAGCTGCTGTGGCAGGGGGGAAGCGCAGTCCCCTGGTTGTTCCTGCTGTGTTTGGGGTCAGAGCGGCACTTGCCAGGGCTGCAGGCAGAAGCCTGGATCAGCAGATGGGTTGTGGAGGTGCCGAGGGTGGCAGCGGGGATGCCAGCACTGGGGAAGGCTCGCTAACTGCAGCACGCCCCGAGGCAAAGCAGGTTCCACTCCGAAGGCTTTAGGAGTGGCAAAGCAGCCCCGTGGCCTCCCAGCGAGAAGCGGGGAGCCCCGCCGCATGTTCCCAGGAAGCAGGGAGCAGATATGGGAACCAGCAAACACACCAAAGGCAGGCAGCTGGGTTTTCAGGTCTGGCCACGTGCCTGGGGAAAGGAATCCACCGGCTCCAGATTCCTGTGCTCCCTTTGTCTCCGGAGATAACAGGATAACAGGATCCCCGGACCCAGCGGGTCACAACCCCCCCAGCAGGTGTGTCCTCTGCGTGGCCAACAGGAAACCCAGCCTGGTGCAGAAAGTGAAACAGCTCCTGGCTTTTATGGTGATAAGCCCAGTTAAATATGGAACTAGCGAAAACCCCAAGCAGATCAAAGTCGAGCTCGCAGCCGGATATTAAATTAAGCGGAGAAGATGCAAGCTTAGGACAACTGTACCCCAGGAAAACCTTACAGAATTGGGGAGGGGGGGGTTCAGCACGCTGCAGGCAGGGCTGACACCACCACCGTGGGTCCTGCAGCCTCTGCCCCACTTTGGGGGCTCCCCGAGCTCTGGGGAAGGCAGCTCCCAGCACGGCTCCGGGCAGCAGGTGCCTTTGCAGGTGCTTGGCCACCAGCAGCAAGAAGAATATTTATAGCAGAGAGCATCGTGTGGTATCTTTTTTGTAGTTTGGTTGGTTGGGGGGCGGATGACAGCACTGGCAGCCCATTAGGGTATTACAACAGAGCTTCCAGATGTAAGAGAGGAGAGCCATTATGTGTTTACGCTGTTGCAGCAACCCTGTGTAATTTAGTTTTCAAACTTTAATCATTTGGCTGCTGGGACAAATGGATTAGTCTGATGATGTTTTCCAGAGGAAGACGCTGATGATGTAGATTACAGGGCTTGATTCGCTCGTGTATCTGGGATTCCTCTGGGATACGAGGCAGGATCTGATGGCTCACCAAACGCATTATCTCACTTCACCTCGCTGAGCTGTGTCCCTTCTGAATTTATCTTGCCTCGTTTCTTCCCTGCTTCTTTATCCCGGTACCCTAAGTCGGGAGGGAGGAGGCAAGAAAAGCCGCCTCTGTTCCTGCTTGCCCCTTGGTCCCGAGACAAGCAGAGCCCACAGATCACAGCCCCTGGCTGGCGCCTCTCCAGCGGCAGCAGAGGTGAGGCCCAGCATTAAGCAGAACCCAAACCGATAAATTATTATCTCCGGCTGATACAATAATGCCCTGAACCAGCAAAAGTTGAGGAAGTGGTGGCAGCGCTGGGGAGAGTCATCAGGAAAGGCTCGGGGCAGGGAGAGCACGGGGTAAGGACGTGGCTGAGGTTGGTGGAGCGGAGGTGAAACGGGCACAGCGGGGCCAGGGGCAGGGAAGAGCAACCACCGGCATAAAGAGCTGAGCAATGGGGTCTGGGCTGAGCAGAATTAATGTACATCAGAGCACCCTGATCGTGTATACGACCCCTTAACAAACAATTTGGACCTGGATCGGAAAATAATACAAAGCCACTGGGATGGTGGATGGGCAGACACACTGCCCATCCCTCTGCTACCTGCACGGGGCCCAGACTGACCGACGGCTCCGAAATCCCTCCCAGCAGGGCTCACCAGAGACCCTCAGAGAAGCACTGCTCCTTTAAAAAATGTGGCTTTGTCCACAAGTAATTATGCAGCATAAACACAGAAAAATCAACAGGGTGAATTTCGAACTAATAGAGATGTAATCTCGAAGTCATGAGGCTGCCTTTGTTAGGAAAATATACATACCCCTGAGAATCGGCTACGGTTGCTATCTTACACGCTGCTCAGCAGCTCTCTGGGCACTTTTCCAAATCAGTTTATTTTTAACATCAGTCACATTATACCATTAATTATAAAAAACACTGAGGTTTTCAAGAGAAATTTCTGCTAAAACTGCAGGGTAAATATGCGTGAGAACAGCGAGGATTAAAAGCCCTGCAAACTTTACCATGTGAGGCTGTTGCTACAAACAAGAGAAGTCCTCCGAGGAGGTTATTTATCAGAGTGAATCACAGCAGATAACACGAGGCCTCCTCCCACACTGCAAACAGCGATCATTTGGCCTTTACGTGGCGATGGAAGAGGAAGATTGACACGTCTGTCGGTGCTATGCTCGGGGAATGAGAAGTGTGAGGGACCGGGCTGGATTCCTCAGATGCTTCCCGCATTCAGGCATCCCAGCTTACAAATATTAAATATTTAGCAGGCTGGGCTCCTTCCCACCCAGTAAATTAACAAACAAAGTGAAAAAAACAGCCTGTTTCTACTGATGTCTTGAGGCACTGAAAGCGCTGAATATCAGCTGATGGGATGGATTCAGTCCCTAGCCTTAAACAGCCTCCACAACCCCTGCTACGTGGGCAGGCTGACATCTCCTGCGATGGTTTCCCTGCACCAACACAATAAATGTTTTCCCACTCCCAGGCCTGTGGATCTGTTTAACCTGGTAAACAAGAATCGGAGCAAAGCATTTGGTCTAAGCCCGTGCTGGCCAAGTATGTTGCTGTGCACTTTTCCTAGCAGATTTACTTTTAAAAGACTTATTCTGTGGTAAAACGATTTGATAGCTCTGATACCGTCTGCATAGATGGCAAAGATTAAAGGCAAGGAGTCTGAGCATCAAAGCTTGGCAAAAAGAGCCGGGACTCCCAGCCTTTCATCCAGGCCTTGCCAGACATGCAAATCAGCCTTGGGAAAACTCCCTCCCACACCAGCCTCAACTTCTCAGCAACACGGCTCCTTCGGCACATCCCTACCCTTAAAAAATAGGCAAATCATGCCGCTGATTGCAGCCTCCTCCGGGACAAGGAGGGACGTTTTGTTCTGCTTGCCCTTAAACAATGGAATCCTGCCTAACCAGGGAGCCCAGCCGCCAGCCGGGGCCAGGGCAGCGACACCTCAGCAGGAGGGAGCCATTTTGGCCAGGAGCTGCCTTGAAGCGGTCGCCACATCTCACACACACAGAGGGCCAGGCTCCTGCTGCAGCCATCCCAGGCGGGTCAGCCTGCCCCACGGCCCGCTGCTGGGCACCTGGAGGCTGCTGAGGATGGGATGGGCACGAAGCCCAAACCCTCATTGCTGCGTCCCCCATGGCCCCAGCCCAGCCTGCAGGGAGGTGCAGACACCTCAGCTCACCCCCAGTGCCATGTGGCTGGCCCCGGGGCTGAGGTGTGCCTCAGGGAGCCCTGACACCCCCTCAGCGAGCCCTGCAAACCCCAGAGCCCACAGGGGGGACCTCAGTGCAACCTTTTAGTACTTGAAGAGTGCTTGTAAAAAACATGGGGTGCAACTCCTTGCTCAATCTGATGATGATGGGATGACAGGAATGGTTGTAAACTAAAAGAGGGGGGGTTTTGATTAGTGGTTAGGAGGAAATTCTTCACTCAGGGCAGTGAGGTCCTGGCACAGGTTGCCCAGAGAGGCTGTGGGGGCCCCGTCCCTGGAGGTGCTCAGGAGCAGGTTGGATGGGGCCATGGCCAACCCGGTCTGGTGGGTGGCATCCCTGCCATGGCAGGAGGTTGGAACGAGATAATCTCTGAGCTCCCTTCCAACCTAGGCCATTCTGTGATTAAACAATTATTTTAAAAGCCATCTTGGGGCTGTTCAGCCCGAGGAGGGGCTGCCAGCATCCCGCTGTCGGGCAGGAAGGCCCCACGGCGCCCCGGCCGCACGCAGCCCCCCTCCCACCGCGGCGACCCCCGGGGCCGCCACAGAGCCGCCCGCCTCCCTCCCACTCCCTCAGCCGGGAGGGGCGGGACTTCCCCGAAACAGACAGCCCCCTCCTCCAATCCCCGCACGCCTTTCCCCTCCCCTTTCCCAAACCGACCAATCACCGCCCTTCCCTACCCTCCCCGCCTCTTTCCTCTTACCCAATGGGGCCGCGCCGCTCTCGCCCTTCCCTCCCCGCGGCCCCAGGGAGGAGAGGAAGGCGGCGGAGGGGAGGGGCCTGGCGTAGCGCTGCTATTCACGAAGCGGCGCCGTCCCTTCGCCCTGCCTCGCGGCCGCTTGCAGCGTTGGCGTAGCGGCCGCCATTGGCGTAGCGCGCGGAGCGGCGGCGGGGCAGGAGCTGCGGGCGGGGGCCGGGCCCAGGTCGGTGCGGGGCCGGGGGCGGTGGTGGGAGGGGGGCGGCCGGGGCTCGGGGCTGCGGCTCGGGAGCCTTTGGGGGACCCCGGGAGCCGCTTGGGGGACCCCCGGGTGTCTTTTGGGGACCCCCGGGTCTCTCCTGGAGCCCCCCGGGTGTCTGTTGGGGACCCCCAGGAGCCTTTTGGGGACCCCCGGGTCCCGCTTGAAGCCCCCCGAGTGCCTTTTGGGGGCCCCCAGGTGATTTTGGAGCCCCTCAGGATCCGTTTAGGGACCCCTGGGTCTCCCTTATAGCCCCCCTGGATCCTTTTGGGGTTCCCCGGGTGCTTTTGGAGCCCCCCTGGATCCTCTTAGGGACCCCCGGATCCCCCTTGTATCCCCTCGGGGTCCTTTTGGGGTCCCCCAGGTACATTTTGGGGACCCCCTGGAGCCCCCCCAGGTGCTGGGTCAGGACTGTGAGCACAGAGCCCCGCTGGCCCCTCCGCTGCCATTTCATTCCTGCCATCCCCTGGGGGCTGCTCCCTGGTCACAGCCTCGGCCCCTTGGCACCCCTCGGCCTCACCGCCACGGTGCTGCTGAAACCCGCAGCGCCCCGAGCGCCTCCGGCCCCAAAACCCGAGCGTCTGGGGCTGGCGGTGACCTGGTTTGGTGGTGCTGTGCGAGCCGGAGCCGGCTGCCTTCCTCTGCCCTTCTTCCCCTCGGCGTTGGGTGCTCCATTTGTAAGATACAGGTGCTGGTGCCTAGGGCTGCTCGGAAAAAGGGAAAAAAAAAAAACAAAAAACAAACAAAAAAAACAAACAGCTCTGGCATGTTTTGAGACGTTTCTGTGTATTCTCGCCTGCGTGTTCGGCTGATCTGGTTTGCAAAGTGCTCCTGGAGCCGATGGGGGGGAAATGGAGCAGATCTGTGTGAGCTGCTTTGCAAACAGAAATTGGGAGGGGGATGATGACAGCGGCGAAGCTTGCCCGAGGCAAAAAGGGGACGGAGGATATGGGGAGCGGGCTAATTGGGGCCATACCTCTTCAGATTGGTATGAGCCTGGGCTGAACATTACCCCTCCAAACAGGTTTTAGAGGAGGAGGAGGAGCCCGAGGCTGCCTGGGACTAATTTCCTCATTTCCCTCCCAAAGGCTGACCTGCAGACCTGCATCGAGGAGCTGCGCAGGAAGAGGAGAGAGCAGCTGGCAGCTCTCCGCATGTGCTGCACGCAGAGCGAAGGCTTCTTCGGAGACCCAAGATGACTCCCCACGAGAGATGCTTCCTGGAGGGGTTCTGCTGAAGGCGGAGCGCAGCAGCCTCCCACGGGGACAGCTCCTGCTGGTCTGGAGCTGAGGCTTGCTTCCCTCCCTCCCTTTTCCCTCGGAGATGTTGCAGAGGTTTAACCTGACCTCCTCCTCCTCACCTGCAGCCTGCCGTGGCGATGATCCAGCAGCCCGATCCGACCACCAAAGAGAAGAGGATTGCGCGTTTGAAGCCGGGCCCTCGTTGTAACTGAACTGGAATTTACTCCCCTAAATTTACGCCCCTGGAGCCAGAGCTGTTCCCCTGCTCGGCCCTGTGCGTGCTGAGCCGCTCCTCCCCGTCTCGTCTGGAGTTCCCGGGCTTTCCACGCTGAATTTGCCCATGGCTTTCCTGATGAAGAAGAAGAAATTCAAATTTCAGACCAGTTTTACTCTGGAAGAGCTGACTGCTGTCCCCTTCGTCAATGGGGTTCTGTTCTGTAAGATCAGGCTGCTGGATGGAGGAGACTTCGCGAGCTTGTCTACCAGGTAAGCAGCCGCCTGCGGGCTTGCCTCCTGGCTGGCCTTCTTTTCCTGGTTAGTCTTTAATTGAGTGGATTGGCGTTTGGCTACCTCTTGCAACCCCTGGCTGTGATTTCAGCAGTTCTGTTGTAGGGCCACGCCGTCCTCCAGAGCCGGGGAAGAACACAGCTGGGTTTTGGTGGCTGCTCAGAGCCGGACGGGGTTTTTCAGAGCTGTGGGGAGGAAGGGAACGAGAGGTTGCACCCCAAGAGAGATGGGGTTTAGGGATGAAGTTCTCTTCTATTCTTTTTCTCCCCCCTTACCCCAGTTTTCACACTATTTCAGATGTTTTGCCGTATTGCTTTCATGCCTGACTTGAAACTTAGCTCTGAAGAAAACCGCGTCCAGCTGACCAAACCGGCCCCTTCTGACTTTGCTCTCCCCGTTGTGTTCTGAGTTGCTGTTGGTGGTGAGGGTGGAAGGAGCTTGCTTTGCATTGCAAATTGCTGTGCAAGGGAAAACTGCTGCCTGCAGTCAGGGTTGTCAGTGCTAAAGATACAGTTTATCTCCTTGAGCAAACGCCATGGCGTCTCCCCACTTTATAGCTGCAATACTTTCTTTTCCGTATGATTTCTCGTATCGGGATCGGTCCGCTGCACATTTTATAAGGTTGTTTGTGTATGGGCATTTCTCAGGCTCCTTCAGGCAGCTCTGTCCCCGCTCCTGCTGCTAATTGCTAATAAAAACTTGCTTTGTTTCCAGCTCTGCGCGTAGATTATCACCAGCAGTATGTAAATGTAAACGCAAATTCCGTAACAGCCTGGGCTTGCTTTCTGCCTGGCTATGTGAAGGAAGCCTTTGGTGGCTTTCCAACTTGTTTTTTTGCTTTCCTGAGACTTGCATTTAAAGGTGCAGCGTGGGTTTGCTGCTAACTGTTTTATCGCAGCACCAAAGCCTGTTCTGCTCTGGTTTTCTTCCTTGTGGTGCTGCGCCTTGAGCTTTCTTATTTTGGGAGAGAAGACTTTATTGGACGAGTGTAAAACATTTGTCTGGGAGTAGAAGTGGCAGGGCATTGCTTGAAGCCTTTTTTTTTCCCTTTGGAGGCATGGTGCAACCTCAGCTGAAGTCTATAGAAACTGTGGGCGTGGAACGCGGCCAAAAATGGGTCGTGAATTAATTTCTCTTTTGAAGAAAATCTATCAAAAGAGCTTTTCCTTACAGCCTTCCCCCCCTGAGGCTGGGTCCTTGCTGCCTGGTGGAAGCGGCTTATCTAAGGAATTCGGGCAGTGTGTGAACTTGGGAAGGAATTAACCCCTCTGCTGCCCGGAGCTGCGACCAACCGAGTCCAACTGGGGCTGGCTCAGGTGGGCCTGTGCTAGGAAACGTCCGAACCCATCTCCTCTCTGCCCTCACAGGTGGCTTTGGGAGCACGCTGCGGGTTGCGTGGGGCTATTTTCTGAGCTGGCTGGGTTTAGCAGCGCTCCTTCCAGCTCCCACACCAGCTGGGATTCAAACCAAGCGCGGGCGCTGAGCCCCGGTGCCCTGCTCGGCGTGCTGCCTTCCCCTCACCTCTCTGCTCTCGAACCGGGAGCACGTGGAAACCTGTTCCTGCTGGAAACGTGACGGCTCTCTCGGTGGTATTGAGTCATTTGACCTTTTCCAAATGTTTTCCCACTGTGGCAATTAAAGAAACTTGGAGAGGGCTGGATGTCCAGGAGCAGGGAGAAGTTACTGCGCTCCAGTCCTGTTCTGTGACCTTTCTGAGATGGTGTGGGTCTGGGGAAGGATTGGGAAGCAGATGCTGTATCCGTGGTGTTTGGGAAGTCTGTGTGGTTAGTTAGGGCCTGTGATTGCTTGCCTGAAATCAGCCGCTTCCCAAAATGGTCCCATTTGGAGCTGGGAGGTCTGTGGGGTCATCCCACCATGAACCACTCATGTCAGTGTTGGTGTGCTCTGCAGTCCCTTTGGGCTGTGGCAAGAAAAAGAAGTGTGCAGCTGTGAGCGAGCAGACCAGGAGCTCGTGGTGTCCGTGTGTTTCCAGAGCTGATCTGGACGAGGTGTCCCACGTCATTTGGAGTCTGTGAACGGAGGGGGCAGGAGTAGGTATAGGACGTGCCAGGTTGGGATTTCTTTTTCCTCGATTAAGTGGCTTATGACGAGGAACAAAGAGGGTTGTCTGGGAAGATCAGGAACTGATGCCTTTCAGGGCATTCACAGCAGGTGACCCGAAAGCTGGTGCAGGTCTGTGGTGAGCCCGGAGTGGCCGCGGAGCTGCTGGATGGCAGCGGGTTCAAGTGACCTGGGAGCAGAGAGCCTCGGTCCCCTGGGGTCCCTGAGGGGAGCCTGGATAAAGTGCCCTCGGGAATTGCCCTCTGAGGAATTGAGGGTGCTCTGGAGGAGGTCCAGGTCCTGCCTGCACATCGCCTTAGGATCTGCCTCTTGGTTTTGTGGTTTTTTTTTTCATTTTTTCGTACAGTCAGGTGCCCTCCTTCCATGTGTGCTGTGTTAAGGCCTCAGTTACACCGCGGGTATTGCAGTGACTCAAGCTGCAGCCATACATTTCCCTTCACCCTTCTCCTCCTCCTCCTCCCTTTGTAAAATCGTCTCCTGATGTTCTGGCAGGTCTTCTGAGGATAAGACCAGCTGCAGCTTACAGCAACCCACCTGACAGCCGCCCATGGTCTGGGGCTCTGCCGTTGCTGGGTTTTAGAAGTTGGTCTTCTGGAAGTGCCTCTGGGCCAGGTGCAGCCAGGCAGGTGCCGGTCCGTGCCTCGAAGGCCCTTAATCCCGATACCCCTTAATCCCAGTACCCCTTAATCCCAGTACCCCTTAATCCCGGTACTGGTACAGTTCAGCTGCCTGGGAGTAGCTTTAAAAATAGCAGGCACGGGGCTGTGCTCATGGCAACCGTCTGCAAAGCAGCTGGGCTGCTGCATCCTGCACCGGGTCCGAGCTCTCCGAGGGGGCCTGCACCGCTGCTCCTGGACAGATGCTGCTGAAACAGCCCCACAGGGAGGGCTCGGATCCAGCGGGGTGAGGGAGCGGGGCTGGCCAGCAGCACGGCCTAAAGCCACGGCCCCACGGAGCTCGTGTGCTTACGTCTTTGGGTATTACAGCGGGGGAAGAGTTGCTTAACCCCCCCCTTGCTTACGGGGTCACAATTAATGCCGAGTGGTGGCCAGCTGCTCCTCATCCCGCTGCTGGCTGACTGCTGGCAGGGAGTGCTGCTGTGTGATGTGAAGGGGGAAGGCCAGGTGTCAGCCACGTAGTCCAGCACCTCCTCCTGCCTCATTCCACCTCCTCCTGCCTCGTTCTGTTAGCTTGCCAGCAGTTCCCCTCCGGTATTCCTGGCCCTGAAGGAAGGGATTGTGCTCTGAAAGCCCCTGGCTGACTCCAGAGGAAAGGCTTTTGCAAGAGCTTAACGGCACTGAGGGCATTTCCCACCTTCTACGTCATCTTCTGAAGGCAAAAAAATCCCAAATTCCAACCCAGGCTGTGTCTCTGTGTCTTGAGCACATTTGGCGTTTCAGCCTGGTTTCTGCTCCTGGCACTGCGGCCCCAGTCAGCCCAGAGGCTGGATTTTGCCTCCCGCAGCCCAGCAGCGGCTTGCAGGCAGGATTCAGAGGAGCAGTCGTGATCTGGGAAGAGCCACCCCTGCCTGTTGGTGTGGTCTGGCCTCGGAGCATTTCGGTGCTGCAGCCTGAACCGAGGATGTTCGTACAGCTTGTAACGGGGTAGGGGTGAGAGGCTGCTTCCTGCCGCCTGTGCGTGTGGAGCCGCAGGAAACGCCGGGGCTGGGGCAGGCTCCTGGTGCCGGCAGCTCCCCGTGCATTAAGGCCTCGTCCTTTTCTGTAGGACAGCAGGAAAGGGGAGAAGCGGTGCCCTAAGTGGTGAATCAGGAGCTTCTCTTAGGGCAGGTGCAAGCCTCTGAAACCCAGCTGTCTGTGGTGCGAGTTAGAAATAACAAATTCCCATAAATAGCTGTCATGCCTGATGCTAGAGATCCTTCAGGGTTACCCTCTTTGGCTCCTTCTGGCCAGAAAAGCCTCAGTTTGGCTCACCAGAGGCTACAGGACTGCTTCAGCCCCGCGGAGGTGTAAATCTTCCCCGCTGCCTGCCTGAAAACAAAGGCGAGGTGACTGCTCTCTCCTGGAGTCAGCCTCGCCAGGAGGGGAAGAAAACCAGCAGTGGGGAAAGAGGAGGGTTGCTGGCTTTTCAAAAATGCTCTGGCTGCAAACGTGTCCAAAAAGGCAGGCCTTCCCTGTGTGTAAACACAGCCCAGGTATGTGGGTCGAGAGAGCGAGCGTTAATGCTCCAGAGCAGCTTTGCCTTCCACGTGGTCACCTCCTGCTCCTGGCCGCAGCCTCAGGAAAGGGCCGGGAGTGCTGGAGGAGAGGCGTGGGTGCAGCCTCTGCAAACACCCGGCAGTAACACAGCCTGGGTGGGCACAGCGAGGGCCTGACACCTGCACCCCTCGGTTCCTGAAGCTGACGTGGGGAAACCAGGCAGCAGGGAGGAGAAGAAAGGGGTTTAGAGTCAGACTCCCAGGCTCTGTGACCGGTAGGCTGTAAATGTCTGGGTGCAGGCTGCTTTCAGGCTTCCCCCTCGGGGCTGGCAGTGCCCGACAGTGAACTTTTGGGATCAGCCTCACCTGTGTGAGCTGAGCAGCCCTGCAGCTCCGAGAGCTGCTCCTCGGGGCTGGGGCCCAGCAGACTTACGGGGTGCCAACAAAATCTGCTCTGGCCGAGGACAAGGGCAGGTAGCAGAGGGTGCCCCCCGCTCCCTTCAGGCCCTGTATTTGTTTCTGGAATACAGGGGGAAACCTAAATGGCTTCCAGCCTGTTTGTTCTCGGTGCTCTTTAGCTGCTGTCAGCGTTGACTCCAGCTTTGAGGCTGTATCTGGGAGGAATTCGGGCATGCCTTCAGCAGCCTGTGGTCTCTACACGGTTGTTGGTATTTTAATAGGCCCTAAGTTGCCAACAGCAAGTTGTCCCAGTGCTACTTTCTAGACAAACGAGGCAGGCACAGATTTATTTCTTATTATTTCATTGCAGGAAGCTACACCTGCTAGCATTTCAGGAGAGATCTCCGGCTCCTTGCTCCCAGTGAACCCCTTTTTGCTGCGGGGCACGTCTGTCTGCTCAGGAGCACGAGGAGCAGCGCGGTGAGCCCTTGCACCATCACCTGCCCCGTGCTCTCTGAGCTCTCCTTCCGTGTGAGGACGGACGGATGTGGCTGTGCGTGGCCTCCCTGCTCAGGCAGGATGTGTCCCGCATCCTCTGCGCTGCCAGCCCTGCCCTGCCGGAGCTGAAGCGGGTCAGGAATTAGTCTCTGGCTCTTTACGTAGACATCAGCCGCCTTTAGGAATATCCTGGGCAGAGTTTGGAGCTGCTGTTTCCTTTGTAACAGCCCAGGGGCTCGTATCAGGGATCCGCGCCGTGTTATTTCAGGTGGTTGAATTTATTTCATGTTGCACCACCCCAGCACCAGCTGCCCAGCCTGCAGGATGAGAGGTGGATTTTTTTCTTGCAGGTTATCCACGTGATGCCTTTGTGCACTGGCTGGGACACACGATGCAGGGCAGCACCCTGGCTTGGCACCGGGAGCTCTGGTACCACGCAGCGGGACCCAGCAGCCCGTCCTCGAGCCCGCGTCTGAAAGGCTCTTCCCAGCGGCGAACAGTTGTGCCTGTGTTTGCCGGATGAACGGCCGTGTTGTTCGGGGGATTTGTAATCCGATGAGCAAGAAAGGGAATTGTTCGGAGGGGTTGGAGGGCGTCAGGGGTGTCACTTCCACGTGCTTCTCGTGAGTCTGCCACGGAGCCCGATTGATCCAGCTGAGATGGGGAAAAGGGGACGGGGACGAGAAGGAAAACGCACAGGAAGCAGATGGAGACAGAGGCTTGGGAGGAGGCAAGTGCTGCAGAGACAGGATGCTCCAGATAAGGCGCTGCATGGGTCTGGTCCCTGTAGCGGGTGCTTTCCCTGCAGACAAGTGGGCTGGCGGGGCGGCAGCATCACGCCCATCGCGCCTTTCCTTTCAATTCATCAAATCTGGTTGCAGAGAGGAGGCCCGGTGCTAGAAGGTCCCGTGTTGCTGCAGGAGATGGGCCTGAAGCTAAAAATACTTCCTTGCTGTACGCTAAATAAGAAATGAGCGCTGTGTGTCGGGGCTGAAAGCACCGGGGCTGCTTGC